GGGGCATTTTTGGAGCGCACACACACACGCATTCTCTAAATGTACTGAAAGCTGGGGCAGTCGTCTTTCCATTAGATTTTCTTGGGTATAAAATACATCACAATCTTATTTTATAAAAATTTGAATCATTGAGATTTGAAAAATAGTGTGATATAGAAAAATTAATGAAATTTTATTTGCACACGGACTTTCAACTGTTAAAGAACAAAATTGAACTGAATAAATTACAAAGATCTTGTTGGCCTTATTCAGCGATTCTTGAGTCAGGTAGCATCCAATCAAGCAGATAAAAAGAAACTTCAGAGGACTGTACAAAAAAGAGATTTTATAGATACAAGGTAGTGGTAACAAGGAAGTTATACTGGGCACTTGCTGATTGATTAAAGCAGAGCCACTTTCCCTAAGTGGAGCACAGGAAGTCTGGAAGCTGCTTCAGGTAACTTGAGCTGACAGAAAAGTGCTGACTGGGTGATGGAAGGCTGCCTTCTCTGGTACAACAGGCAGAGAAGCTTTGTTAAGTAAGTTTCCTTTTGCTGACATGTGCTGTAATTCAGGCTCTCCTTCTTGAGATATAAAGGTTATTTGACAGCAAAGTACTTGTCAGCTCATAACAGACATAGGCCTTGTTGCCCTACTTTGCTGCCTTCATTAAAATACACATACAGCATTGTAAGATTTTTATTAAACATTATTACTAGTTCTAGTTCTAGAATACTTTTAATATACCCATCTGATTTACTTCCGGCAAAAATGCAGTAGATGGTTTTTGTGTCTGTATGTTTTTAGAAATATAAACCAGTAAGAACACAAGAATTAATACTTTTGTAAGCTAGAAAGCAGAGAATGGGGTGAAGTCACAAGGAGACAAGAACCATAATGCCTTTGAATTTCTCAATGACAAAGCTAGGTGATGGTTGAAAGTTGCCTTCAGAATGCTGAAGGAATTATTTTTTCAGTCTAAAATTCTATACCCAGTCAGACAGTCATTAAATTGGGGTGCCTAAATGGGTATTTTCAGACATAAATCAGTCTCAAAAAACTTACTGTGCTAAATTAAAATTCTTCCTTCCTTTTCTTTCTCTTTAGTCTCACAGCGGTAAAATAAGAAATCAAAATATCCCAGAAAAGAAGAGGGAAATTAAGTATGGAAGAAAATGGGATAAGGTCTACATCAAATTATTATTCCTGAGTTAATCAAAAGAGTCCATACTATTTCAGGTTGTATATTATACCTTACCATGATAGAGACTGAGAAGTAATACTTCCTTTTATATAGCCAGGAACAAGAGAACATTTGTTCACAAAGTATAAGCAGTTAAAATATTTCTATTGTGTCATAGCAGAGTCAGAAAAATTAATTCATTTCCCAATTGTAAGAGTTTTACAACAACTTTGTTTAAAAAAAAAAAAAAAAAAAAAACAACAGTTGTCCTCACTTCCAGAATGAGGTGACACACACTCCAGCCCCTGCCCAGTGATTTGGTCTAAAAATGAACAAGGGAGGAAAGCAGACGCGGGGATGTTTATACAGACTGTAAAGTGACTTAACCAGTAACAGTAGAAAATATTGCGAATCAGTGCTGTATTGGCAAATTACTCTCAGAACGCGGTAGCTTCCCCCTCTTCACAAGGACACAGCGTAAAAACATTTGCTTTTTCTTTCTGATTTGTCTGTTTCAACAATTAGTAGTCTAGATTAAAGTAAACTTGAAGTTAAGAATGTCAAATGGGAAATAATGATCTCATTTAATTACCACCAGTGTATTTCCTGTTTCCTCTATAGACAGAAATCTGCCTTTTGGCCCCGATGGGCATCACATCAGCAGTTCTCTGGCGTATTTCTCACGTTAATGTCAGAGTGCCTTTGCTGGTTCGGCTTCCTTGTCTTCCCCTTCCTGGCCTGACCTGCTCCTCTTCCCTCAAAGCACAAAATACATGTCACCTCTTGGGTAATTTTCCCTGACCTGCACCCCCATGGCTACTTCGCCTGACATCTTGCTCCTTCAGGTGAGGTTCCTGAGAGAGTGAGAGGATGGGTCTGCACATCTTCACCGTTCTCCTGAGAAGGAGAGCTCAGGTGCAGCACTAGGAAGGACTTGATGTAGCACAGGAAATGGGAGCTGCCAGTTGGGAGCCAGTTTCCTGCTTGGGCACTTAGTACATGACCTTGGGCAACTAGCTCAACCTCTTCTTGTGCTCTGTCAGCTGGGGGCCTCCATAGTGCCTCCCTCCCTTGCAGATCACCGGGAAGGTTGAAGAGAATACACACGTAAAGTACAACATAATACAGCGGTTAAGAACACATATTCTGGAGCCAGGCTGTCTGGGTTCAAACCATGCTCCATTACATAGGCAATCTAAGTGGAAAGGAGAAAGGATCTGAGGGTTAAAGAAAGGAAAACAAATTAAAGCCACACTGTGAAGCCACTACCTCCCACCAGAATTAAAATGGAAATGACAGTGTTGAAAGCACCTTTCATACACAGTTGATTGTAGTGTTTGGAAAACTAATATCTGCTCTGCTAACTTAACCCATGCCCCCCCTTATTCCAATTACCCCCGCCCCGAGGTATAGACACGTGGTAGAAATGCGTGTGCACCAGATGACGTGTAGTAAGATGTAACACGAATATTCAGAGGAACATGATCCCTTAACAGCCAAAAGTGATTAGCTCAAACAAATTCTGTATGTTTATAAAATGGAAGAACAGATAAATTGCAATGTGTGTGTGTTACACAAATATGATGTATAAAACCAGACAGAAAAACTATTCTATGATTGCTTTTTTCCCCACTAGGTTCAAAAACAAAACACCAAAACTCTATGGAATTTGAAGTCAGCATAGTGGCAGCCTTTGTCAGGGGAGCAGAGAGGGAGCAAGGCCCGAGGGTGCCCCTGGAGTTCTGTTGCTTGATCTAATTTGATGATCATGTGGCTGGCTGTATTTCCCTTGTGAAGTCACTTTATTGTATGCTTGTGATGTGTGCATCCATATCTAAGTATGTTAAATTTCCATTTAAAACTTTACATTAAATCAGAAGGCTTGAGAATTTTGGAGTTCACTTTTCCACTTGCTGAGTCTCCCTGAAATTAAAGATTTCATAGTTTAAAAAGTATAAGTGTTCACTGTAAGACTAGAAAATGAACAAATTTGGCTTCCAATTGCAGTTGTGTCTTCAAGGCAGCAAAAAGGTCTCAAAGGAAACAGGAACCTCAGGCAGCATGCTTTGCAGTGATTGTTCTCGTTTATCCTGCTTCCTGACAGCCACTATCACAGATGCTTAGACTACATTAAGTTACATATCAAACTGTGGTTTGGACCTAGAATTGTTTTGGTTTTTGTTTTTAACTTTTCTCAAAGTGATGCCGCACTATCATCCTGCAGATCAGTTTTGATGGTTTTAAAGTTTGATTGAAGAATGAGTTTTATGTGATCCAGCTGTGAGATATAAAAGACATGCCTAAAGGTGCTTGAGTGAGTGTTCGTTGTAATTGATGCCTTTGCTTATTGCTTTGGTGTCCATGATGCTGTTTTAGTAACTTAGTGAGTTTCATCTTTGAGTGGAATTTGTTTTGTTTAGTCTGCATTATGCTCAGATTGGTGATTGAAACCCTTATACTTTCATAGAACATTGCTCCATAGCTCTTCCCTTTGCTGCTATTTTTATATCACATGAATCATTGCACATTGAAGCCATCTGCAAGGCCTGAATGGAAGAAGATAAAAGTTGCCATCACGTAGATTGACACTTGAAAAGCTGTTATTCATTCAGAGTTTATTCTTGATTATCCTTTATATTTTAAAGTCTCACACTTCAAGCTGGTTGCCAAAATCTCTGAGCCAAAAGTATCTCTGATTCACAGTTTCTTTTAGCTGAACATTGGGCCAAAGGAGGAATTCGTTCTGTGTCACCGGAGGAGCCAGTTAGGACCTCATTCTAGTTCAACTGAGATGATAAGAACAGCCAGTCCCACATCTATTTTGAAAGTACGTTGGCTTAATCAGCTCAGTTAGCCAGCCGGTTTGGCATGTACTTCGTAGAGAATAGTAAAAGCGGAGGGTTCTTAAATTGCCAGATGAATACTTCAAAATTAGTGTCTTTTTCAGTTCCTACAGTGTATCACACCTGTTAGGTATTTGTCAAAAATATTTTTCTACACAGCAACTTTCTTGAAGATGTTGGGATGTTGAAGACGTCTTGAAGATGTCCTGGGATGTTGCATAAGAGTCATTCTTGAAAACACACACCCACACACTCTCTCCCATTGTGGAGGTGAGCATTTATGTTGTGTGGGGGTTAGTCAGGTCCCTTAAAACCTTGCCTGGCAGTTTTTCTAAATGGAGCTTTGCTCTGGGCCACTGAAGGAAGAGTTCCCCTCAGCAGAATTAGCTGAAACTTCATGAGGGGGATGCAGACTGAGATTGATGAGAGATTGACTAGAGATTGGTTTCAGAGATGCTTCTTTAAATTTTAAGCCAAGTGCCCTTTGTTCCTGTCTCTTCTTCATAAATAGTACTGGAATTTGTTGGCAACTCAGCAGTCATAAACTGAAACTAATAGAGGGAATGAAATGTGAAGACTCCCTCACTTCCTGAAATGTTAACCAAAAAATACAGTGATCTCCCCGACTCAAGACAACAAACTTCACTTTTGCAATGGAATTAAATGGAATTAGAAAGCTCTACTAAGACGCTAGGAATAATGGTAGTATTTTTATGTCTTCGGTTAACCTAATGTTATTCCAGTGTGATCTTGGGTAAGTCACTTAGTGTTTCTGAAGCTCCCATTTTGCTAATGTATTATAAATATTCAAAGACCAAAATGCTGTTTGTAAAGTCTAACATTTTAAACATACATTAACATCTTTGGTTTTTTCTCTTTGAAGGGACAACTAAATTTTGCTTCAAGACACACTGCCAATGATTGGGGTGGGAGGGACTTTAATTACTTTATATAATTCTGTGAAATAATTGCATTTATTTTGTTTCTTTGCCTAGCAGACAGAAGGGGGCGCACAGACAGATGGCCAGCCATCACAGACACAAAGTAGTGAGAACTCAGAGAGTAAATCTACCCCCAAACGGCTGCATGTCTCTAATATTCCTTTCCGCTTCCGGGACCCCGACCTCCGACAGATGTTTGGGGTAAGTTTATGAAATCCTTTAATGGGTTTTATAGTTAAGACATAATTTTATCCACTAGGTGTGTTCTTAGTCATTAGAACTTTAGGGTAAAACGAAAAATAGATTGAGAAGGATCTTGAATACTTCATCAATCTTTAGAAACTTTTCCTGTGGCCTACTCTATTCTAGACACTAACCTTAAAGGTCTCATCTATGTAAGATTGACCCTGTCCTGGCTTGGCTGGGACTGAGGTTTCTTAGGATAAGAGACTTTCATCACTAAAACCGTGAAAAAGATATCAATCCCTAATTCCCAGTGTGTTGCGAATCAAATGAAATAATATCTGTGAAAGCAAACATGGTACCTTTGCTTCCTTGCTCATAATTCACTGTCCGGAGCAGTATCTAAAATCATGTATAGAAGGTTAGTTGGCTGCCCCTAATGTGTTCCTTCAGCTATTCCTTTTCTCCTGAAATCACATCATGAAAACAAAGTATAAAAACAAAGATTTAAGCTGTTGGGAAGTGAACATCTACCTAGAGTCTTGGTTTTGTTTTTTTTGCACCCATGTGTTATTGCCTATTTTAATTTGGTCAAACTCTTAACTTGAAATAGAACCAAAAGATTATCAGTCTTTTTTTTTTTTTTAAAGTCTTGGTGTGGCCAATTCATAGTGACAAGGCCCTGGGGTAAAGTTCTGTCACTCACTGCTGACGCTTGGGGTGTTTTCCATAAAGAAAGACAGCCAGGCTTGAGATTTAGTAATGTTTTTGAAGGACTTGAACCAGTTCTCCAGATGAAGGGCAGTATTAAGAGTTTAGGTTACTTTTAAGAAGAAGCGTCCTAGAATGTGAGTGATTCGGTTCTCTCCTGAATTATCAGAGATAATATGGTATATTCATCTCTGGAGGGCTGAGAAAAGGGATACATTCTCATCTGCCAGCAGTGTGTTTCCCCTTGAAGATCTGCCAAACCATTTCAGTGATTTCTTGAAACGTATTATATGCCCTTTGAATAGGTATTAGGTGAAAAAAAATCCTTAAAGGGATACCTGCTGCTATGTTTTCTTGCACATGATAAATTCCTATTACTTATGAGACAGCAGCGTGGCTAAGAGGGATTCCATGCTCCGTTTTATTTCCATTTTATTAGCTCTGTAAACTTGATGAATAGTTTCTTTCAGCCTCATTTTCCTTAACCATAAAAGGAAAGCAGCCTTTCCTTTGGAAGGTTGTTGTTAAGGATGCATGGGAAAATGGAAAAGAAACAAACTTGTAAAACACCCTACAAATTTGATTTTTAATAGGGTAAGTTTAGAAATAAAATTAAAATACCCTCCTAGGCTAAGACATTTTCTTCTTTCTTTGATTTATCTCATTTTCTATTAAATGATGAGACTGGAATCAAGCCCAAAAGCCACACTCTAGAACAGTGGGCTCTTCTACATGTTTTTCGATGAAGATAGTAATGACTCAACCCACCAAGAAAGCATGATTCTCTTTTGTTCTTTTCATTTTTTAGATTTTTCACATTTCCAAAGTTTGGTTTGAAATCCAGTTGAGTATCTTCTGAAAACAGTTTCTACCTTTAGGAAAGGAGAAATTATCAGCTTGTGATAAGAAAAATCAGAAACTGATATTGGGACCTACAAACAGATTGAAACACGGAAGTTCAATAAGTAGTTTAAAGAAAGAAAAACCCCTGTTTCTTTTTTAGAAGAAAGTAAAGTATGTGGATAAAATTCTAACCATAGATAAATGGTTTTATTTTTGTCTCTGCAGCAGTTTGGCAAAATCCTAGATGTAGAAATAATCTTTAATGAACGTGGCTCTAAGGTAAGCTCTATTTCAGTATTAAGTGTGCTTGGTTTCTTATTAGTTTTGTTTTATTTAAAATAGTAAGTGATCAGAACACTTAAGCTGTTTTTCAAGCCTACGATAAGTATCCCAGCTATCTAGTTGGGGGAGATTATCTCTAAAAATAAACTATCACATGACCAAACTTTAATACTTAAGTTGGGAGAGTTAGGGAATCTAGCAAGAGAAGTTTGTCAGGAGAGGGCATGGTAAGGAGGAGAGACGCAGGAGACGGCAGTCTCTTATGACCTACACTTGACCTGGGGTGCTTATTTTAAAGGAAGAGAGAAGACTGAAAAAAGTGAAATTCTGTGGCAATTCCATCCTGAATTCTGTCAGAGCAATTCTACTTTTGAAAATTGAATGCTGAAATGACATACTTAAGTTACTCGGTTGACTTGCTCTCTCCTGAATGTATGTCCTAATGGGGGTTGCGTGCAGTGGCCATGACCCAAGAGTTCTCTGTGCACTGACTTCTTCCTTTAGCTGTACCCAAGTAGGCAAACTGCAGGACGTGGAGTCACGTCAGACAATGCTGTGAGTTAGATTTTTTGCTTAAGAAATTAGTAATAGTGTACAATTTGACAGATGTATTCTTTTCTCAATGTGTTCTACATAAGAACTAAAGTTTTAATTAAGATGTGTTTTCGCCTAACCATTTACCATCTTACATTCCCAATTTATATAGGTTGATTTAGAATTTTTAATGCATTAAAATAAGCAGTAGTGCTTTTAGGAATGAGGGAATAGCAAAGTATTACAAAAGTGTTATGAAAAAAACATTTGTTATGCTGATTTTTGAAAAGCTTTATCTGAAAGTTTCTTCCTCGACAAATGAATACACCCCATAGACACAATCAGCTGTGGCCAAACTTTCAAATTTTTTTCCCTCCTCTGTAAAAAATACTTTGCAGTGTTCATTTCTACTTGCATTTTTTAGTTAGACTAATTTTTGGATTAATTTTCATTTATCATCTCTACTGAACTTTAAAAATAGCTGTTGCCTGTGATTAATTTCTACGACTATGTAACTTGAGAAAAGCTAAGTAAAGTAATAAATGATTAATATTTACCTCTCTTCAATTTCCTGCTTTGTATTCATCATACTTTGGGAATTAATAACATATATCTATAAAGTTTTATATACTTCCCGCCCTATCCATACTAATACACATGTATGCACTGTCCTGGTGCTCCTGAATTATTACTTCCCTCCTTCATAGAATGCATTAACACTAAAAGTGGTTAATTCTGACTGTATTAATCGTTTGTTAATTATTATGGAGATAGATATACTCTAAGCTTCCAGCTTTCAGTTAAAACAAAAAAGATTAATATGCCTATACAGAACTTTCTCCAGCACTTAACTTGGTAAGTATTTCTAAAGTGATATTTTTTTCAGATTAACCAGTAAAACTGCTTATGCTTTTGTAATTTCCTCACATTGAGTTTCTATTACCTTGTTGTATCATTTCTTTTTTAATACAAGATGGAAAAATTACGGTGGTTTAGAGATGAGAGCACATGAATATAAAATAAATATGTGAAGATTATTCACCTCGCTGTTTATCTAAAGTAATTGTTTAAATGTTTTTGGTTTTAAGTGTATGCACATAAAATATTCTTAATTAGACTCTAGACTTTTAACAAGAAGCCCAGTATAATTTCATCAGGCATTGAGGACTTTATCCTTACCAAAAAATCAGGTGATTGAATTTTGTGAAGCAAAGGAAATTGATCTTTCTCAAGGCTTCTTTCATTGACTTTAAGAATCTACCTACTGCCAGAAAAATTTAAATTTACCCAACCCAGTGACTTCTCCCCTGTAATCTTCATTTAAAATGACACAAGCCTTCCTTTTCTCTCGGAGGATGTAAGAGCATATACTGCGCCTCTCAGCTTGATGCTGTGTCCTCACTGCCCCTTTATCTTTGGGCTGATAAAGAGTAGACAGATTATGTACTAATTGGTTAACGTTTTTAAAACAAAACACAGCATTCAGGATTGCCTTGGATCTGCCTTCAGGAACTGACTGCAAAACCTAGCTTCATCTTTTGCTTTCTTAGCTGTTACCTAAATTTCTTTGATGGAATGGGTTCCCCTGGATCCACCTGAGATAAATTAATGAGTGCTTTTCTTCTTGTAAATGTAGTTTACATTTCTATGTTTCTTTTATGTTTGGGGTTGACTATAAAATTACATGTCTTAAGGAACCACTGAAAAGGAGACTTATGTGGTCCTGTTGTTTAATTAAGAGTTGCTCAGTCTTTTAACAGAGTGCTTTTCAGTACAGAAATTAGCCTTATTGAATTTCATTTTGGAGCAGTAGTGAAAAAACTAGCCACAAAGTATTTCTGAGATAGTAATATATGTAAAATAGTATTTAACCAAATGGCTCAGCAACAAAAAGGAACTCTTTACCATGTCTTATTTTTTATGAGAGACTGTTGGCCAGGGTTTTTGAATACACCCACTTAAAAGCGCAAGCCAACACTGACACCACTATGTCCGCCCTGTCCTTGCCTCCCCATACCTCATCCAGCTTGTCTGGAGAGGAGACTTTCTGTTCTCTGTGATGTAGTAGTTTTTTCTTTGACATTCATAGTCTGGATTTGGAATGAATATGTATTCTTATATGCATATATATAAATTTTATGATTTTTTAAAAAAATTATTTTCCTCTTCTTGGTAAAAACAAAGTCAGGTGTATCTAGTTTTCTATGACTGAAACAAAGGTATACTATCCTTTTAAAAATGTACAATTCAAAATGTACATTAAAACCTGTACCTTTTAAAAATGTATATACATATATGTAGCTGTGTTGAGTCCCCAGATTTCACCAGTCGTGACAAAGCACTAACACAAACAGTAAGAATATATTGGCAGAGTGGTCATGTGTCCTGGGTTGTCCGGGATAATCCCAGTTACACCTATTGTTTTAGCATAATTGTTTAATAATGTCCCCTTTCTCCCTCAGTGTTGTCCCAATTTAAACAATAAATCACATTGTCACTCTCCTTATAGATCCTTTGAGTAAAAGCTTTTTAAAAGCACCCTTATCAAAACCATTATAAAAGGAAAACGGAATTCTTGATGAGAAGTAGAAAGAAAAAAAGCACACATTGTTCATTAACCAGAATTGTCACTAGTATTCACATCTACATCCTTCTAGTCTTTTCCCCCACAGGCTCTTGAACAGAGCTTTAAATAATGGTCACCTAGTTCAAATCATAAGTATTCTAGACCTCGCTCTCTGTGCTAGGTACTTTTATGGCTGAGAACTTATTTTTTAGAAGTTTGTTCTAATTTTGAACTTCAGACTTCCTACTGTCCTACTCACCACCCAGCCCCATAAAAATTTACTTGTGATAATTATCAAGCATATTAAACAATGACAGGTTCTAACATTTATATTTTCCATTAGATTTTGTCAAAATACTTTAGGTATAATTCACTTGAAGGCACATGTGTTCTAAGTATGGAATAAGTATAAAAGCTTTTCACCTCTTCCGACAGTGCCAATTATTAAGTCCCCGAAAGGACTAAAAATAGAGTACAGCAACAATTAAATTGAGATTTCTAGCAAATTTTTAGTTAATGTGTTCTCATTACTTCTCTCAGGTGGATTTCTGGAATGACGGAGATCTGAGTTTGTGTCAGACTTAAATTTCAGCTGGAGTTAGGGAAGATAAAACCTCCATTCCCTTTCCTCAGATATGAGTAATGTGCAATAGTTTCTTGTGAACTTCCTTGACTTTTGATTTCATGCAAAGGGAAATTATTTTATTTCTTTCATAATGTGGTCAAAATCTTATCTTTGAAATTGCATTAAGTAGCCCTTTGTGATTTTCAGTAAAATTTGGTAGGTAATGTATGGTGAAATGTTTTTCATTATACTTAAAACTAAAATAACAGTGCATGTATTTCCAAAGGGCTTAGCTTATTTTCTTTTGTTGCCATTTTATGGGTTTTAGTTTTCTTTTTCTTTTATTTATTTTTTAATTTCTGTGTTCTGGCCATACCCAGGAGAACCGTCTGCTTTTGATTTCTCCCTTAAAAGTTACATGGTAAATTTTCTTTCTCATTCTTCTGAGATGGAAAAATTCAAAGATTATACAAATTTTAAAAATATTTTTACAATGCTCATTCTATTGCTTGTTATTTATTGCAGTCTGAGGCCAGACTGAAAAGGTGACAGTTACTCGGCTATTAGATGTCTTTGATGCCAATGATCAAGGCAGGTGATAAAGTCTCTGTCATAGTTGCTGGAAGCTTTAACAACAGCCATACTCCTGCCAGACATAGCAGCCCTCAGTTTCCAAAAGACAGCTGCGATAGCTGGTGGTGAATCACTGATCTGACTCTGGTATATTTGAATTAGCCACTGATATGTCACTGATATTTTGAATTATTGAAGTGGAAGGATTTGGGCTCTGAGAACCTCTGGTGAAAGCCTAAAGCATAGAGACCTGCAGCCTTGGCTGCCATGGCCACACTGAGGACCTGAAATGCAGTGAGTCTAAAGGGAAACATGCCCCAAGTTAAAACCATACAACAGCTTCAAAGACTTACCACCAAAAAAGAATGTTAGCCATCTCACTAGCGTTGATGTTGACACCATGTTGCAATGATAGTATGTTGTTTATATTGGGTGAGATAAAATGCGGCATTATAATTAAGTACACTTTTTCTACCTTTTACTGTGACCGGTGGAAATATATGGCTCAAGTTATTTTTCTATCAGCACTGTTGTAGACAAACATCTATTTTTAGTTATTTAATTTTATTTAAATTAAGGTTACTTAAATTTAATTACATCATTTTTTAATAAAAATATTTTTTGCATGTCTGTTTTTAGGCTTAAATGCTTCCTCATATAAAGAGTTTGAGATTAAATCTAAGTTTGACTTTGTAGCTTTTCAGACAGGTTATTATATTCCTGTTTGATATATGATCATTTTGAAGCTCTCCTAAGGAAAATGTGTTAGTGTAGAGAATTTTTAGTTTCTTTTTCAAAGCAAGGGATCATAATGACCTAACTTAATGTGAATGAAAATATTGTAAAATAGCCTATTTTCCTGTTGGGACTTTCTTAAACCTGAATAGTCTGTGAGTAGCTTGAGTTTGGTTCCAGGTACAGTTTCAGAAGTGCTAAATTTTTATTGAAGAGATGGTATATTTAAAAAAATTGTTAGCGTTTTATTTGCATTAATACTCTTGAAACCAAATTTTAAATGTGGCAAACAAACTTGAATGGAGTTGATGGGAAATGACCTGTTCAAAGTTTCATCATGAGAGAAAGGTATTAAAGAACAATACTATAAAAATGCCGATTCTATTTCTCATCTTCCAACTCACAGCCTTTAATTCTCAGAGGCATATAGTAATTGCCTATTGCTTCCAAGCAAATTTGGTGACTGAGTACCACCGGCTTTATTCCCTTACAATTATGGAGGCCACAGGTCCAAAGTGGGAGTGGGCTGCACTCCTTCAGCTGGCTCTAGGAGTTAATCCACTTCCTTTACTTCTCTAGCTTCTCAAGGCTGCACACCTTCCTTGACATGTCACTCCTGTCATCCTCAGGGCCAGCACTGGCCAGACCAGTCCTTCTCAGGATGCTGCAGTGTGATTCTGTCTTTCCTGCTTCCCTCTCACACATAAGCTCCCTGTGATTACACTGGGCCCACCTGGATAATCCAGGATAATCTCCCATCTCAAGATCATTAATTCAGTCATATTTGCAAAATCCCTTTTGCCATGTGAGGTAACATACTCACAGTTTCCAGGGATTAGGACATTGCCAACTTTGGTGAGGCCATTATTCTGCCTACCAAAAGGCCTATTTATCTTCAAAGGAAGAAAAGAAATCCTCTTACCTCAAGGTTTCGTCTCAGGAAGGCCCACAGTATCAGTAAGGCCATCTTCCTATTACCCTAGGTAAATATGTCTGTAAAGATTGCTTAATTGTTGTGTCTTTGGTATCTGAATTAGTAGTTCCTCTGAAGTGCAGACCCTTTTTCTTCACTTAAAAAAAAATACTTCATAAAGATTTGAAAATGAAATTTTGTTCCAGAATATTAAAGTATTATTGGGAAAATCTTGACTGAGCAGACATTAATGTTAAGCTTTAGCATTTGCTGACTATAAAATGGCAATGCTTATAATGCCACTCTGCATTCTTTTGGATGCGGTTATTGTATCACAAATGTTCTGTTAACACGTTCCAGAAAGGAGCGTCACAGAACACATTTAGCAATTTGGCTTGAAAAATAAAATTAGGAGAATTTTAGGATGAATATAGTTTTGTAAATAGAAAACCGAACTGACATTTTAAAGCATAATTTCTCATTTGTGGAGCTTGGGAAGAAGCTACAGGGAAGGAAGCCCTTCTGGATGCTGGGGTACTTAGCCTCAGCTTCACTCCTTTTCTTTACCATCAGAATGAAGCCAGCAGATCTGTCCTTTGTACCCAATGGTTGTATTTTAGAAACAAACAAGCATGTTCATATGACAGTGTGTAATTATCAGTCATAATGCTAAAATTAAAAAGCTAGCTATTAGTCTCCAGATAAATTGTTATCCAGCCATTAATTTATAATTCATTACTTTAATCCAGGCATAAAATGTAAGAAACTGTAAGAATCAATTGAATAGTGTACAATACTTCTAAAATGTGATGTAAAAACTGGTCACAATCTGTGACCTTTCTTAAAAGGTTAGACTGTCCCATTGGAGGGTTCTCTGGGATCGGAAATCTGGCTTCCTGTATTCTACATACTAGAGCTGATGACAAATGGTGTAATTTGCCCTTGTGTACTTCGAGCTGTCAAAGAGACTGTAGCATGTAGATGCCAAAATTTCTTTCTGCATATGTATTCCCACCGATATTTTTAACGTATTTTGAACATTGCCTATAATATTCCATCCCAGGCAGCATACTTTTAAGCTTTCTGTCAGCTTAGCATTGCACTTTCTGGGGTCTTCGCGATGACACGTGGAAGGCAGACTTGATCCACTGGAATCCCCCAGGGAACATCTGACCTTATGCTCATTTAGAGTGATCAGAGCCTTCAAACTGATGGAGCTGCTTCAGAATACCTTATTGGGCAATACACACCACTAACGTCTTAGAGGAGAACATGTTTGTACATATAGGAGTACACCGGTGCTAAGTAACAAAGCAATACTTCACTAAAAATAAAGACCTCCAGGTTGTCTTATAATGGAATACTCAAAGAATTCTAAAGGAATAATAATGATGCTTTTGAGAATTGAGAACTTTCCCAGGAAATTCTAAAAATCTGCCACTTTTCCAAATGTAAATGACTTGAGAAAATGTTATGGTTGCAGAGTGGAAAGACAAAGCACCTAGAATAAAGCTGATAGAGTGCTTTATGGAATAGTCATGCAAGTATATAATAACTACTGTTGAAACTGATGATATGATCATGACCCCCATGTCAGATACAGTGTGAACAAAGGAATAAAATGGGTTTAACTCCCGACTCCTTGCTGTCTTAAATTTTGACATTAAAGCTCCTTTTTTTTTTTGAAGCGTCTACAACACACAAATTAATCCTAACTCAGGACAGCAACTGCATTGCTGTGAACGGTGCTCCTTTCCTCTTGAATACTGTTCAAGTGATGTTGCTAATATAGATCATGTTCCCATTGCCAGTTGGCTATTCCTTTTTTCTTTGTTTATGGAAAATTAATACATCAAATAGCAAATGTAGGCATCAACCTATGTATAATTTGGGTACGCAGTTTTCTGAAATACAGCTGAACATATTTTTACTGTGTTGGTATGATTGTTTAAAATTGACATTGGGGGCCTCCCCACTGGCCTAGGGGTTCAGTCTCAGTGCTTTCTCCGCTATGGCCTGAGTTCCATCCCCGGCCAGGGAGGTGACCCTCATGGCGCAGTAGACCTCTTCTGTCTCACATGCTGCTCCTCTCAGCAGTATATTTCAGTAGATCTGCCTGTTCTCTTCCCTATTCTGTCTCTGGTGAATCCTTTCAACTCCCTACACTCCCCCACCTCTGGTCTACACCCTAGTACTTATATGCAAAAAAAAATTTTTTTAACATTGAAGAAAAGTTATAATTGACCCCTGCTTAGTGACATCTTCATGTGCCCAGATGACATGAGTGTGCTCCTCTCCCACACCCAGTACCTACAGAACTAGACATCATGACGATGTCTTAATTACCCATTCCCAATGGAATTAATAGTGATGTCAGCAGCAGGCAGAGAGGGACTAAAATGACTAAACTTCCTTGAAAATAATCTCATTGTACAGTCATGGCACCAGAATGTTAGAACTCACATAGAAGTTACTGGAAAATAATAGATTTGAGATGTTAGGCCATATAAATATTTTTTAGTATTACAGAAAGGGACATGTATATTAACAACAAACATTGAGAACAAAAAGTAGAACAATAAAAATGTTCAGAATCTTGGTTGAATAACCCGAGTAACTCTTACCTTCATTTTGGTCTGGCCTCACATGCTTTATGTTTCATTTTATTATTGTTGTTAATCCTATTATTATTATCATCATCATCATCATCACCATCATCATGATATCATCACTACTACTACAGTTCTTTATTCCTTTATTGGATTTAATTTCCCTTTACAAACTATGCATGGACCAAAAATGTGACTTTGGGAGAGTATTGCTGAATTGTTGCTGATGTCAGTTTCATACTGTGATATTTTTTCTCTGTTTACCAAGAGATCAGTATTTCAATATAACGATGTGCATGTTTTCCCCCCTTCTCCCGCTGCATGCAGGGATTCGGGTTCGTAACTTTCGAGAATAGTGCTGATGCAGACAGGGCCAGGGAGAAATTACACGGCACCGTGGTAGAGGGCCGTAAAATCGAGGTGCATGTCTTCAATAATTCAATTTCTGGTTTATATTTTTATTTCTCTTTTTGTGTATTGCTTCACTTATTTCACATTTGGAACCCTGTCTTGTTCGTGTGTGCACACATGTGTATGTGTGTTCATGTCCTTCACCTTCTTGCACTAAAATGTATAAAAGTTAACACTTCTATACTCCCCTCTCTTTCATTTTTTGGTTGCTTGGGGGGGTTTTAATTTTGATTTACTTGTGTGTGTGTGTGTGTGTGTGTTTGTGTGTGTGTGTCTGTGTGTGTATTTATTTGTTTTTTTCATTTACTTTTTTCCTCCTTCAAAATGTTCATCCTTCTGCTCTCTTGATTTTTTTCCTTTGCTTCAGTTTGCGAGACTGCGAATTCCTGTGATCAGGCCAAAATAAAACTAACTTTTAAAAAAATGTTTGGAAATTGTCCATTTTAGCATTATGTCCTATAATGAATCAAGGGACCAGCCACTGCCCTCTTTCTCCTGGGAGGCAGTTGGCCTCCATGTGGGTGTGATAGGCAAGGCCTTGAAGATTGTAGAAGTTGTGGGGAGGAAAGAGGGATTCCAAAACTCATCTAGTTTTAAAATATATTTAATCTCAAGAATTTCAATAGTTAATGGCTGAATTCCTCCAGCAAGGGTTTGATGGCTGGCTGAGAATGTCCCACGATGTGACGGAGGCAGCTCTGGTCTTCGGCAGGCCTTTTTAAGACCACAGCGAAGGTTAACTGCTTCCTTTCCCCTGGTGCCCAATATTTTTAAGTATTAAACATAAAAGCCACCATTTTGAGTAAGATGTCTGCATATTCTGCTTTTTTTCCCCCCTCCCTTTCCAATGGTTTAGCATTTAGGGCCCTTCACTGACCCACTCTTTCCATGGTAACTATACACAAAGCTGGCGCTGGTGCCCTCAGCGGTAAGTGAAACAAAAGCACTGGAGAAGCAGCTTTTACAATGTAATCACAAAACAATTAAATAAGAAAGAAAAAGTCCATCTGCCATCTCACATTAACACTAAAATGTGATTTGACTTGTCGTTCCTCTTCCTTTTCCTTCCCCTTTTATTTTCAGTGCTGTTGAGTAATGCGCCTGGACTTTGGATGTACATATTGTTTTGTAGCAGCCTGAGCTGTTTGATTACTGACATTACTGTCATGGTGACTTTTTCCCCCTTGCACATCTTACTCAGAGTTACTGAACTCCAGTTTGGCTGGTTTTATTAATGCACTTCCCCCGCTCCTTCCTCTCCCACTGTCCTCCTCTCTCCTCGGCCTGTCTGGAACTGTGACTGTCCCCGTGCTCCACCAGTGCTCTTCCCTGTGCGCCTTCCTGGCCTTCCTCTCCCTTCCCCGCCCCTCCTGTTCCCTTGACTTTGGTCTCTCCCCACCCTGTCCTCTGCTCCTCTCGGCCCTTCTCTCGGGTCTGTGCAAGCTGTTGGTCTCTCTTGCTGACTGGTGGTTTCTGGTTGGCTCTGGCCACTCTCCCTGCAGCGCTTGCTTTGGCTCCAGCCGCTGGTGTCAGAAGCCCCCGCCCCTCTAGCCTGTCTGTGAGCCTCGCCCTTCACTCTCTCCCTTCTTTCTAAACTTGGGGTTTTTTCTTTCTTTTATTTGTGTGTGTGTGTTTTGACTGCATGCTCTCAGTCTCATCATTGTTGTACCCATTCTTTCTTTTTAAATGTGAAATGTTTCTATTATTTGGTGGGCAAACTAGAGTAAATGGAGTTTCAAGCTCTTCCTCCCATGGAAGGATTTTCAATTTTAAGATTTTCGATCTTAAAAGACTTACATTGACTTTTTTAGTTCCAATTCCAGCTAAAATTGATCTTTTCATAATATAAGTTTATCACTACAAATTTAACATAATGCAAATTCCAAGAGGTTAAATGATTATATTTTGTGTATTTCGTAATTCATTGAAAACCTGGCCCGTTTTGTGAGCTGACAGCACAGCCCATGGTCGGGTTCTGGGTGAGGCGCCACCCTCCTCGCTGGAGCTCTGAGGCAGGATCTGCCACTTTGGCATCCTGACCTCTAAGCCCATCCTCAGCAGGGCTCAAATGCCTTCTCACCCCGCACTGAGAGGCTGTGAATGATGCTGTTATGTGATGAGGGTGGAAGGCATCAGAAAAGAAAAGAAACGTAAGCCTTATTTTTTTTCAGTTATTTTAAGTGCCTAATTTAAAGGCCTGCTGAAAATTTTATTCATAAATTAGTGGACCACATCGTCTAGAAAAATGGTCCTGAAGACTGCCAACATGGGAATCCATTTTTGTATTTGTTTATTAACCTCAAACAGTAAAATCTTATACAAACATATAAATTGAACATTAGAACAGATGAAATCCACAAATTTATTTTCTTACCTTTCTGTAAATCTTTCATCTGACCCATGTGACACGCGTCTGTTTCATTCATGAACTTCAAAGTTCATGTGTAGAATTGTTTCTAGTTTACTTTTTCCCTCATTTTCTTTAATGCTGAGACTTCTCTGTTTAAGAGAGCTCCATAGAATTTGCAATTTTACTTTTCTTCGGAGTACTGGATGCTGAAGTAGCCCAGGTTTTTCATCTGGAGAACAAGAAACTGCATTTCACTCTTGTTAGCCTCATTTAATAAATATTTTAATTAAAATCTGTATATTAATTATATTGCTATGTTAATTATGTAAATCAACACTGTCTGAAAATTATGTTTTGAACTAAGTACTGTTTTATCAGATGAGCAACTTCACACTCCCTAATGTGGTCTCCTTCCTCCCTGCCCCCCTCTACTCTGTACTTCTAGGTGAATAATGCTACAGCGCGTGTAATGACCAATAAGAAGATGGTCACACCATATGCAAATGGTAAGTGGCCATACCTCCTCCTTTATTCTTGTGTCAGCGTAGAAGTATTTCCCTTACCTAAGGAAATGCATTATTTTTTACAAGTGAACGTTTTAATCTTAGAATGAAGCTTTTTTAGTTACTAAAGGTATTATGGTCTCAGCAGTGTTTATCTTAGACACAGTCAGTGTGTCATTTGTGATTCTTTTAACCCAAGTTACAGCCCTACTCAGGAACCCTTTCTTTTAGCTGCTGTAGTTCTTGAGAATGTGCTGGGTTTGTCTGTAGCACCCCTGGAGAGCCACCATTTCTCACCACTGGCACCTGCTCATCGAACATAAATAGATCCATTTTTGACTCCTTGCTCTCCTTTTAAAGGTTAGGTATACATGTGATTCTGTTTTCTATTTCATGAGCACTTGTCATATAGTAAATGTTATGTTTCTCATTGAGAAAAAAAATTTCACATCAATTGTCAAATTTAATCAAGATTCATATTCTCTAAATAAATTGAGACTCATACGCTAAATAAAACTTCAGTCTGTGCCAGCTTTGCAAGCTCTGTTCCATGAGGTCATCTGGGAAGAACCCAACACGCTGGGCTCTGAGGCCACCCTCCCTCCTTCAGTCTGCGTGGCTCTTATTCTCTGCTGTCTAGTTAGAGTTCTGCCTGATATTTTATCTAGTAATAAAGGGGAGCTTTGCCTGCTTTTTAAGTTTAGACATACTGACAGAGTATAACAGTGTGTGCTAGCAATGTCTTAAGTCATTAGAAGTACATCAGCATTTAACATTTTCCACAAAATCTTCAGTGAATATATTTAGCCCAGCTTTTTAACCAGATGATACAAATCAGCATGTCTGCATTATTCCTACCTAGTTCATTTGGTAGAAAATGCAATGCCACCACCTCCCACTTTACCTCGTCTTCTTTTCTCTGCAGAACAAAACCCTGTAAAACAAGGTAACCTCAATAAAAAAAAAATAAAAGGAAAAAATGCAATGAGATTTCCAAAAATGAAAAGCCACAGTAGTTTCTGTCATTTTGATAAAAACCCAGTGTAAACGAAATAAGGAAAGAAAGGCAAAGTACATCAACTTTCCTTCAGATCCAGGGTAAATGGTGTGGCAGGAAGAGCTGCTGACTGGAATTTAGACATTTTTCTTCTAGATTGAACTCTTCATTTTGCTCTGTGACAGTGGCCAATTTCTTAACCTCTCTGATTCTGTTTTCATCTCTGTTGGCAGTCACAGTTTATCAGCACTAGAAAGCTCTTTAAAAGTCATCAGAACCCAACCGTCTTAGCTTATTGTTTAGGAAAGGAAGAGCAGAGAAGCATCATGCTTATTCATTGTCCCAGATGTGCTAACTGTCTTTTCTGTCCCTTTTGTTTTGTGAAGGTCGGTAACCTAAGCACCTGTGAAAATACATTGTACGTTGTCCAGAACTGAACACATTCCAAGTGTTACTGACGGCAGACCATTATCTGCCATTATTATAACGTGATCCTTTTAAAGGGAACACTTGCATAATGGTGCAGTTGGTAGGGGAAAGGTCATTTTCGAATACAATACTAAATTAATATTCAAGCCTAGTGGAGCCATTCTTGAGAAACCTGCCAGTGCTGGGTTCTGGGTTCTCAGATGAGCATGCGGCCTTCTCTGAATTCTCAGTCAGCATCTTAATGTGTGTTGGTTGGTTGGAATCACTTGATTCATCTGATATTGTGGAACATTGTGCTCTTACAATGTACTCCAGTAGGATTTGAACCCAGATTTGGCCAAATTTTTATGTATAATGATGAAGAGACCACAACCATCTATGAATGCACAAAATGATGAATGGAGGTTGAAATGCTTAAGGATGCATGGGCTTTTTTCTTGAATAATGTCTTTGCCTATAGCCGTTTTAGCCTACAGTTCTTACTTCCATTCAAATATTTATAGACTAGCAGTGGCACAGTGTGAGAGCCTGAGCTAATATCAAGAAGTAAGCCAGAGAGTCAGTTTTTCAAGTTTGCTTACTTATGTATAAAATTCAATAAATATTTATTGATTAAAGTTATCATGTGAAATTCTACTCTTTATCAGTGGGCAGCAGCATATTTTCTTTATTTAACACTTGCTGTATTCCTGTAAATATAAAAAGGGGATTGAATAAAATTGACATCAAGCTTCATGTTTGGAAGTACATAAAATCTGTAAATATTTAAGCTGATATGCAATAGCAATTTAATGCCCTTTAGCTAGAAAGGCTGATTAACTTAACTGTGTTCATCACAAGTGGAAATCTCAAAGGACATGCACTGGAGCTGGGGAAGGAGCTTGGACTTTTAAGTGCATGTCTCCTTCGTTGGCTTGGTTAACTCCTGTGAAATTCCAACCAAGGGAGTTCAGTTTACCTGGTGCAATTGATCATGGAGTCAAAGATCCAGGTAAAATTGGAGCACAAAGCACAGCTTTATAAAACAACCAGAGCAGTAAACATTTTTTTAGCTTGTATGTAAGAAAAAGTACATCATAGTGTGGTATAGAGTGATGGATAATTGACCTTTTTTCCTTTTTCTAAACCTTTTTTCCTTTTTTCCTTTTTCATTAAGCAATCTTGTGAGAGACTCTACTGAAGCCCAGGGTTTATTTATATTTCTTTTTCCTTCTCCATCTCCTACCTTCCTTTCCTTCCCTCTCCATCTCCTACCTTCTTAATTTTCTCCTTCCTCGCTTCCGACTTTACCCCAGCCCCTCATTATCCCTTCACTGTCTAGTCATGTTGAAAAATAATCAGGTAATGAGGTCAGGAAATACCATCACCCTCTCATTTTAAACCCCAGCTGGTGTTCTAAGGAGAAGCTGGAAAGAGGCAAAAATACACCCAGAGATTTCCAATGCCAACTCGTGCATGCCCTATTAGTCTTTTCCCTGTTTTAAATGTTCATTGTTCTCTCTTCCATTTCAGGTTGGAAATTAAGCCCAGTTGTTGGAGCTGTATATGGCCCTGAGTTATATGCAGGTAGTGTTAATTTTTCCATTTGTGTTGTTTAACTATAACAGCACCTATGACTTTTTTGACTTACTATTTTCCTTTGTAATCTTTTTTTTATTATTATTTTTAATGCAATCAGCCTCCAGCTTTCAAGCAGATGTGTCCCTAGGCAACGATGCTGCAGTGCCCCTGTCAGGAAGAGGGGGCATCAACACTTACATTCCTTTAATCAGTAAGTAGCCTATGTTGGCCTGGCATGGATTCCAACTCTTGGCGAGTAAGCAGCAACATGCTAGTTTGTTTTTCCCTGGTATGATGTGTAACGGAAAGGTTGCCACAAAGCACAAATGGGGTGGGCTGAGGGCATGCGAAGAACATTTTAGGCTGCACTTGATAATCAGGAAAATAAAAGAAGTATGTTATATGTGTTCTCTGCAAGCGTTTGGGCCTCCAGTAGAGTGCCACTTTGAAGGGCCTGTGGTGTTATTGATCACTCTCAGCTCTGTTGCTATCTCTAAAGCCCTTTGACCTGAGCTGTTTTGCCCCAGCAAGAGGTATAATTACACAGCGTTCAATGGAGATGGAATCAGTGTCTCTGCATGCTTTCCAAAGGATAACACACTTAGAATAGACCCTTAGAAAGTGTCTGCCTCCTTAAAGGATATGTGACCATGGGGGAGAAGTCTCCTCTCTTCTTATTTTCTGGGTTAAAACATTTTGGATAAAAAAATTAAGTGGATTAATGAACTAAAATGTCTAAAGACTACATATGCCTTGGAGGTTGGCACCATATAAAAACAAAAGAACATCCTTATGAAGCATAAATGATTACATCCATATCATATTTGGAAATAAGATTAATAACTGACCATTTAAAGAGTTTATCTCATTTGGCTCAAACTGCTCACCAGTTTGCGTTGCAATGCCAAAACAGGGAAGAAGCAGAGAAAACTCACTCAAGATTTGTGATGTGTGAGGCACAGTGTTATTAGCGTTTACGTGCTGGGTCTCTCCACTCCTTTTTTCAGAAAAGAGGTGGTCCACATCTTTTCATCGTCCTGTAGTTTGCTAAAAGCAAGCTGTGATTGTAAAGCTGTTATTGAATACAAGTTGACATTTCTGTCATATTTTGGGTCTCCCTTTAGTTCCTGGCTTCCCTTACCCAACTGCAGCCACCACGGCGGCCGCTTTCAGAGGAGCCCACCTGAGGGGCAGAGGGCGGACGGTCTACGGTGCAGTTCGAGCGGTACCTCCAACAGCCATCCCCGCCTACCCAGGGTAAGCATTAGATTCCGAGGTCAGCAGCCGGACAAATAAAGAATACCATTGCCCTCTCATAACTTCTGGGACGTTGCCATGCCACATAGCAGAGATCCTATGAACATTTGCAAATTAACGGATTAGATGGCAAGAACCAAAATTTACCATTATCAGAATGTAAAAAAATTTCAATTCATTTTATAAATCTTCATTTTGGCCACCTTAAGCCCTCCTGGTAGTGGCTTAAGACAGTAGCCAGAGCTGTCTTGTTCAGTAGCAGTGTGTTGGCATGAGTTCACTCAGCACCGCACGAACATGGACTAACACTACTGCAGAGAACCAAACAGGAGCTCCAGACTGTAGTGCCAGGCTGCATCTGCTGCGTCCACCTCGCCACCCCCCGTGCGGGCTGAGGCTGCCACACGCGCCTCCCTGTGGTCTCACGGCTGGGTGGTGAGCAGCAGAGCTGGTTACCCACAATGGATTTGCTTTCTTTGTAGGAAACGGATTAAAAGAGGTTAATTCAAAGATGAACCAAGTCCAATTGAATCAAGGGAGAAAGGGAGAAGTAGGAAGAATTAAACTACAGTTGGCTTCTGAATGATGGTAAAACCACTAATGTAGCTGAGCATCCTTCACCCTTTGATTTTTGTATGGAGGGTGTCTCATGCAGTGGAATGATTCCATAGCAACAAATAAATCCTTTGTCATTGGATGGGGGAGAAGGAGTGAAGTTGCAGGGTTTGTTATTAGTTGTATCTCAGTGTCAGCCTAAAATGTATAATTTTATATAAAGAGTAGACTTTTATAAGTTACTTTTCTTCAAAGATGTGACATTTGTGTTCTTCATCTTTTCTCTGCCTATGACAGGTTTTTCCATGTTCTTACTGAGGAACAAACATAGCAGCACAGGAGCCTGTTAGTTGCTGCTTAGTTAAAATATAAAAGGAAAGAGCCTCCTTTGTGGGTCCTCTTCTGACAGCAAAGTTGGCTTTGAGGTGTACTAATTTAATTGAGCATTCACTCATAGACCGACTGGACATGCCAATAGGGGTCCTCCATTGCACAGAACTAAAGCATTTCTGTTAGACAAGGCAAGTGTGCATGCTAAGATGGGCAAGCTCCAAAGCCACTGGAAGGGACCTGCTTGAGAAATAAGCTTTGTTTGCAGTTTTTAGATGTTTAAATCCCATGCATTCCATCATCTCCATCTTCTGCCATTACTTTTAATTTTATCCTCCCCCCACTTGACCTTTGACCTTCAACCTCTGACATCTCTTTAAAGAAATGACTAAAGATGCAGTATTATTTTATTGTGAGATATCAAAGAAAACATAAAACTGAACCTGGTGGAAGACTACACACTAGGAAAATTGTTCATGCAGTGTCCTGCATTTCAATCCGAGAGTTACCATCACACTTGCAGGCCACACTGCTCAGCAGAAACATGGGACGCCTTTATTTGTAATGTTCCTGAGTGATTTACAAGGTAGTTGGATGCGCTCCTGTTCAATGTAGGTCATTTCAGTATATTCACCAACTTGAGAGCCTGTTCTCTCCCAGGTCTGTGTCAGGTCTATATTTGCTCAGAGATTTTGTCCTGTGCCTAATCACATCAATTTCTGTGCATTACATTGAACACTAATTTCCCATGTTTTCTTTTTTATTAAATAAGCTACCTGTTTACATGGAAGTTGGCAAGGAATAAGTCCAGTATTTTATGGGGAATGGCCTAAAACTGCTTTTCAGCTTAGTAAACTAATTTCATCGTTAATCATCGTGGTCTAGCCCCCTTGTGGCATTTGATACAGGGAATATTGGAATTCTTCTAGAATTTTGGTGAATATTCCCAGTGAGTGACGCAACTTAGGGTAAAGTTTATTCATGCTTTAATGCCACCACTCTTCTGTGTAGAAGAAATGTTTTTAACCTTTGCCTGTATCCCCTTACTGAAATAGTTGAAGATTAATTAATCACCACTTGGCCTCAGTGCTTTCCATTTGTCAACCTTCTCATAAGGACCAAGTCTCATATTTATTAAAATGCTGTTGAGCGGCAAAGTACTTTCTAATAGCAGACTTGAACAGGAGTTGGAGGTAATGAAACTTGATAGAACTTTTAGCTAGCTGGTCGCCACCGGTGTGTCTAATCTGCCTGTTGTGTAACACAAAGGCACAGCAGATTCGGAGCTTTGCAAAGTGCAGCCACCGGTTAAAGATGACAAAATGTCATTGGAAGTAGAATCAGAAATTTTTCAGCTACTTGAGAAATAAGTTATTTCATGTTCAAGTTAAAGAAACAATTTAGTGATCTCAGTTGCTTATTATCATGAAGAAGTTAGTAGTGAAAATTTCCAACTTGTTCAGTTGAATAAATGATAAATAAATCTTCTAATTTAAAATAGCCAAATCTTGACTTAACAAATATGAAGAAGAAAGTCTTATCTTTATTGCTGTTCCATGTATTTTGGTCCCCAAGTAATGTTTTAGAGAAAGTCTTATATGTACAAAAATACCTCAAATGGTTTGAAATTCATATTTTAATTATAATTGTATAGTAACAAGTTATAATAGTATAGTAACAACTTAGGGATTTTTTTAAAAAAGAGTCAGCATTATTTGTTTTATACAAATTCATTTACTAAACAGGAAAGTAAGTCCTTCTAGTCCTGATCAGCTACCGTCTTTTAAATAAAATAATCTTTGATCATGCCCAGAACTTCAGTTATCAATGTATTTTTCAGAATTCCATGAATATTCTTATGGTCAAAAGAGAGCCCTTAAAATTTTTCAATTGCTCCTTCCCACTCTGGATTATATTGTTACTATCTGGGATCCCCACTGCACCTTTCAATTCTTGGACCTTGGACCAATCACCTTAACCTTTAGCTCATTATCTCTGCTTGTGAAAGCAATGCATTGTGGGTATTTTTGGTTGTGTTTTTTTTTTAATTACATTTCTCTGTTTACTTTGGTCAGAATTGATTGACTTGTTTTTCTGAGGTGTTGCATTGGTTCTTAAAATGCTGAATAATAATACTTTGCATGCTTGTGTGATCAGCCAAATCTTATCGCATGTCTAATGTGCAGGGTGAAAAGCAGGTGATGTATGGATATCAGAAAAAAAATTATGTGTCACCACAAAACTGAAGACAAAATACTGAACATAATTTTGAATCGTATTTTGCATATAGATTCTGCCCTAATGGCATTCTCTGGCATCATTTTTTTCATGTTAAATTCTTCTCCATGTCCCTATCTATGCACACGTGCGCGCATGCACAGACACACACATACATACACATAAACACACACCCCTTTGGAAGCACTTTAAAGATAAACTTCCTCCTAGGGTGAGCTCAAAAATACTGTAGGTATAAAATGTTGATGCCTCCATCTGTGAGATTTTCAGTAGCTACCTTAGACCCTCTGGGAATGCTCTTTATTAACGTTTTATTCTTAATTACCAGCATCTGGTGGTTCGTTCTAGTTTTGCATTCCTTCCCCTCCTAGCATGAACCAGAGCTGGTGAACGTGCGTGTGCACTTCCACGCTTCTTGCACAGACTTGCTGTCAAGCCCAGGTTGTCACATATTCATACATCACCTGCCCGAACAGAGCGCATGTGCATGCTGCCGTCCTCAATAACCGGAATGTGTTTCTGTTCTTTTGTTTTTTGTTTTTGTTTTTGTGTGGATTTTCTGCAGTGTGGTTTACCAGGACGGATTTTACGGTGCTGACCTCTATGTAAGTACACACACTGGGGCCTTCTGGACCCCACCCCCTGACAAGCCAGCCTTTTTTTTCTGTTTCTTTGGTTTGGTTTGGTTTGGTTTTTATTTTATTTTATTTTATTTTTGGTTTAGTTTTTTTTTTTAATATAATTTATTTAATTTTTTTCTTTTTCCTTGTGGATATATATATATATATTTATATATTTAAGAATGCAAGCATGCTTCTCTGCCACTGCGCTTGCCCCTGGGTGCAAAAACTAAGCCTTTGGGTTTCCTGATCATTGCTAGTCAGTCTACTGGACATATTCTTTTCCCTTCCCTACACCCACAAATGTTCTGTGTATCACTGATATACTCGCGAGATGATCAGCAGGTTTAAAGTCTCTTACTCCTGTCGTGTCATATGCATACATAAATAACAGGACTAGGTTAGCCTTCAACCAGCTCTTTCCCTTTTCTGCTTTTCTCATTTCACATCCTCTCTAGATCATTAGAACTTTGTTTGCTGTAAATGACAATAATCTTTCTAAAGTGTGTGTTTTTCTGTTTCTACATTCTGAAAGAGTATCATCTTGTGAAAGTGAAGTAAGGAACTGAAACCAGTGTGGAGGGGGTAGTACTGAGAGGAGACCAAGTCTTCAGAGCTGGAGGCCTTTCTTTACCTGAGGTTCAAGGCCAGTGGGTCTCTTGTTAAGAGCCACCTAGAGGGAAACGAGGGGCATAACTGACCTCCTCAGCCCTTCCTACAGACATCTCTGACTGTCCTGCAAGACTGTCGATTCTGTCAACCATGTTAACATGTAATCCATTGTTGAAATGACTGTCAAAGTTTCTGAGTTTTAAAGCCTTTTACTGGAACCTTTCCACATGACTTTTTTTTGAATGCAAGCTTGGTGTGACCACCCAAATCATTAAAAACAATTTTGTAAAAACAAACCCAAAAAATTGTCAGCATGAGATGATTCAGGTTAGAGTTGTTTGGAAATGCTTTCTTCACCTTCCCCAAGTCAACAAGGGTGTCTTTTTATTGGACTCTATCCCCAGTTTGCCAGAGAGTCTCTGGCAATCTAAAAACATGAATGCATTTAGAGACTCTGCGTACTGCAGGGCATGGAGACAGGGTCAGGCAGTTCTCTGAGACACTGTAGGTGACGCTACACACCAGTCCTGTTTCAGGTAGACCTTTAAAGTGTGCTGTGATTTAACAAATGTCTAGAGAAACCTCAGTTATGATTTGGTCTAGCTCTCACTTGTAGATACATTTCTTAGAGAGATTGTGACTTAACTAAAATTACATAATTTGTTTGCACAGCCAAGTAAAGAACCCAACTAATTCATATTTCATTGTCTCTGAGCACTTTAATTAAAACCCACATTCTTCCTAAGAAGGTTCTCTAGAAATAATGAAAGACATTTTTTTCTGTGCTCACAGTGAAACCTGAGAGTGAAGGACATATCCTACTTTTCTACCAAATGGCACATTTCTGAGCATACATGTTTAAATATGATCTGAGCATGTGCATTCTCCCATATATGTTAGTGTTCTCATGAAACTCATCTTTATGTTATTTAAGTTTTTTTTTAAATTTGCTCTGTAAGAGCATGCTTTTTCATTTGAATTATTTCCTAAGTCAAGTTTTTATTTTTCTCAAATATCTTTCTTATTTGGGGATTTTGTTAATGTGGCCTACTTCTGCTTTTATTAAGATTTGTCTTCTTTCACCTTGTCAACCAACCAAATAATTGCTTACAGTTCTCTCATTTTCTTAGTTCATGATATGTGATTTTATTAAGAGAGATGATTTTTCTGTACTTGTTGGAAAATGCTCTGTAATTTTTTTTTTTAATCCACACTTTATCAACAAGCCAAACAGAAGTAGTTCAGTGACCTTGTTGAAAATCATTTCCATCGGTGGCCCTTATTGATGAAAAGAATTAATAGTAATGTTATTGTCCTTTATTAGTTCCTATTAAAGCAGTGAGGGGAAAAGTTGGTCACTAGTGCAGAAATAATATCTGAACCCACTGACGAGAAATGAATATATCATGAAGTGACTTTTGAACTAGGCCTAATGTAACTGTAACTTTCAAAACTCCATATTCCCCATTCCATATGTGAGAGAGCAAAGGACGCTCTTTAAAAACATGCAAAGTAAAAAAGCCTCTTTTACTTTGAATTTGTTCTGCTTCCTCTGGACAGTCTCCCATCTTTGGAAGTCTACCAATTTATATATTTACTTGTTTCCTCAAAAATGTAGGTCAGACAAAGAAGAAAGTTTGTGCCCTATAGAAAGGGCACTCAAGCAGAACTGGAAGAGATGACTTGAGGGAAAAGAGTATTTTAGTTGCTGGTTGTGTTTAAGTTACATTCATTTAGACTATTTTATTGTGGAGGTTTTAAAAATCACTTTCCTCTTCCATTCTTAGACTGCACGTGACCCTGCTAGCCATTTTCTTCCTGTTTCTCTTTGGGCACATTCCTCTCTGGAGAACTGATCTCACTGGGCGTCATTTACAGACCCACTGGTCCAGACTGAGATTGTGGCAGATAGGGGTCTAGCCACTGGCCCCCCACTCCCGCTCACATGACCAGTAGGAAAGGCACACTTCACCCTACTCACTTTTCAAATGGGGCCACAGACCGTTCCGAATCCTCACCCTGTGAAAAGCATGCTTGCATCCAAAGGAAAGAAAAGGCTGGTGGGCCCCCAGTGGGCTTGTTGTATGATTGTTTTCCTTCCACAGCTGTGTTTTTGAACTGCTCTTCCTGTGTTCTGTTATAGAATAGTCTTACAGGAACCAATCATTAGCGCTAAAATACCTCAGGTAGGAGTGCCAGTGTGACCTGCCAATCAATCAGATTGTGGATTGCAGTGAAAAAATTGAATTATACTAACCATTCCAGCTCCACATTAGAGATGGGAACAGAGGCTTTTTTGGACAATCAAGACTTGTGAGCGTGTGATCTAAGCCCTGCCACCTCAGCAGCGCACACAGTCCAGCCCCACCCAAGGGTGCTTCCTTCTGAATGAAGCGCCGCCCACCACCCGGGCACCTCTCGGCACTGCCCGCCACTGCCACCCCTTCCAGCTTCTCAATCACAGTAATCCATGGTGTTGAAACTGCTCTTTTCTCTTTGGAGATTCAAGCAGATGCTTCCTTCTCTGAACGAAGTGAGAATGGGGGGGTAGGACTCTGTCCTACGGGACCCTCAAGTCCCGGATTGGATCCGGCAGTGAAGTCCTGGCAGGGATTGGACTGTGCTGCTACCTAAGTGTGAAGCTGCCTTAAAAATGCAGACATAGTGGGACTCTAAGCACATGCACTTCCCTCTTTCTCTGTCACCTTCAAAGAAGATCAGTGAGTTCGTTTGGGGGCCACTGCACCTCGGGAGAGGAAGGCAGCCTGTGGCCTCCTTCATTATGTGGCTACATGGTGAGATTTGGGAAATGAACTAATCTGGGGAGATGTGAAATAGTAGAGAGCTTGAAGGTTGAAATTCATTAAAGATTACCTCTCCTTTGCAGAAGATAGCACATTGATCATAACAGTTTCTTCCCTTAACCGCAGTTATAAATAATAAGACCAATTTTAAATACTTAAAAAAATACTTTTCATGACTATGTTTCAAAGTATATAGGTCCCTCATTCAAAAGCCTCATAACAATATTATTGCTATGAAGCTTTGTATTCATCTTTGTTTTCACATTTAATCAAAATGTGCCAGTGGCCACATAAGAACTCTTACGCCTCTGCAGCACCCTCATACAAGTGTAACCCAGGGCAGTGGCTCTAGCTGGAATGGGAAGGTGGTGAGGGAAAGAGGGAATTGGAATCCTGTAGGGACAAATCAAGTGAGTCCCAGAGGCACAGCAGCAAACCCAAGCTACTTGGAGTAGGCCTCTGCTCTGCTGTGGCGACTGTGGGCACCGCACATACACTCCCGCCCCATCAGTCTAGGCTCCACACACACCACCACACACAGGGAACAAGCTTCCATTCTGTTTGCTGGTCTTGAAATACACACTCTTCTCAATGTCACATGATGTCATTGTCTTCCAAGTAGAATGAAGGTGTCTTGACATCACATGCTCACCAAAGTCCTGTTTTAATGTAAACCTAAAACAAAGCTATCATAAAATTAAAGCCTAGGTTAAAATTAAGTCAAGGGGTAAATCTACAATTTCAAGGTGAGACGAACAGACATGCAAACAAAGGTCAGGCACAGGAGGGAGCCCTTGCAGAACTCTCCCTCTCAGTTCTAGCTTAAAACGCAGCTATAGAGCAGTGCAAAACAGTCAAGTGTGGCATCAAGATAATTAGCTGATAAGTTAGATTCAGAGTGGATTAGAAAATCCCTAGGAGGTGACATTAGCCCTGGAAAACTGAGACTTTAACTGCACAAGGATCTGAAAGGTAGCAGCATTTTCCTTTGAAAAAGCTGGAAATCAAAGGCAGGGCTGCATTATAGACTGTGAAAAGGTACAGCACTTAGATCTAGGAAATATTTCAGAGGAGCACATGGGTCAGAACAAGTGGGTGTGGACAGGGGGTGCGCCCCCAGTGAGTGGTGCAGGTCAGGAAGGTGGGCAGGGGCGAGGACTAGCAGCCATTTAGAATGGCTTACCCAGGAGTCAGAAAGGCGTTCTGTTTAAAGGGGGGTGTGTATGTTGGAATCAGGCTTAGCCATTGCAAAATTAATCCAGCTGTCAGGGTTCCAAAAAGCTGTCCGTGTGCGCTCCTACATTAGGGTGTGCTGTGGCCATGCTAATCCCCATTTTTTGTTTTATTTCAAATCACACACAGATAGAATCTGCAAACTGCTTCAGATCAAACAGGTCTGATTGTGTGTAAATACATATGTCCTTTTTAATTTTTATTATTAATGGTTGCTTCAGTTTTGCATCAGTGCATGGTTAAAAGCAATACACATCAGCTATTTCATGACTTCATATCTCCAAATGAATTATTTCTCCTCTTTTTTTTGTTTGTTTGTTTGTGCAGTCAGCTGAAGAAATGTTAACATCTCACTCTAAATCTCTCAGTGGAGTCTCTGTTCCCTTCTCTGATATAACAGATGGGTTACTGCTTGTTATAATTATTAACATTGTGGTGTGGGCCAGGGCTAGGGTGGGCAAGATTGACTATTTCTTTGGGCTGGGGAGGGGCCAGTTGTTAGGGTATGGAATGTTAACTCAAGTGGTGACTGACTGTTTCCGTAATACCAGGTCGTTGTGGCTGCACGCTCTAGTAATTGAGGCTGTGTACTTCACCGAGCTTGTGGTAGAGCCTAGGGCAAACCGCTGTCCCAAGAGAATGCTGGGATAGATAGCGTTAGCCGATACGAGTCTGAACGTGGTGATTTTGCTGGTTGTTTTAGCTCCAGATGTTGGCATGCTTAGTTTTTAATGTGATTAATAAATGTGGCGCCATCCCCCTCCCCACGCCTGAACCCCCTGTCTCTCCTGCCCCTTCCCTACCTTTGTTCTTTCTGAAAACCTTAAGAAACAGTAATGAAAACCTTGGTGTTTCAAACTGCACTTTGTTCTCATGTTCTAGAAAAGCCTTCAGATTTGCTAGTAGAAATGAGAGTGGAGAAAACTGCTTCTCAGCCTGCAATTTTTCTGCCCTCTGAAATCCAGAGAGAATAAATATTTGAATTTTCCTTGTCTTATATTTGGTGATAGATTTTGTTCAATCACCAGTTAAAAGCAGCAGAAGAAAGCAATGTCTTTGGAGTATAATTCAAGGTCTAAAATTTCATCTTTCAGATTTGGGGGAGTCCATCAGTTACCAAGGTAGAGGGCTCGCAGGTTACCTGTCTGCCCTAGCCTAGCACAGCCTGCTCCTGCAGCTCCGCTCTCACAATGTCGCTAGGAGAGTGGTCCTGTTGAAATATTATCTGCATTTAAAAAAAAAAAAAAAAAGACCATCAGTGTAGTTTTCCTTAATGCTGCTCTTCTTCTCAGGCCTTTGGTTGTCAGTAAAATATTTGCATCCTGTCCTTTTCTCCTGAGTTGCAGTGGCAGACAATCTCATCACTTCCCGACTCCAGACTCCCTTCATGAAGGAGACTGTTGCAGATAGATGGTCTCCATTTCCTTCTGCGTTGGAAGGAAGCCTCTTTCCATAGTCAGAACCATTTTGACCTGTTTTGTTAACAGTAAAACGCAGCCCCAACATCATCGAGGTTCCCTTGGCCTCTTGCAGACTGAGCAAATGAGAGAAAGTGGTTCTGTCGGTAACCTTCTTTTTAGAATTAGTGCCATACAGCGCAGCACCATGATCTGGTATACGACCCAACTAGTGTCGTCTGAGCCTGAGAATTTCTTCTTGAAAATGTACACCTCTGACCTGCGTCTGAGAACTTGAGGCTCTAAATGTTTTACTCTAGTAAACACGAAACAGGCTGTAACCTGTAACTGCTTTTATTATCTTGACTTACATTTTTAAAGATTATTTTGGTGTTTCGAGGAAGGCTAAAGAGACCAGCCACAGAATGCCTGTCTGCCCCGTTGTCCTTGTGTGCGGAGAAGTCGGCTGAAGACACCCTGCAGCAAGTGGCCTTCCCAGACGGCGTGCCCAGCTGAGCCCAGGCCCTTCTCCAATTATAACGAAAAATTGAACCTTTCAGTTTTATTTGCAACTTAAAAGTTATACAGCACTGTTTATAGTAGCTCAGCTATGGAAACAACCCAAATGCCCAAAATAGATGATTGGATCAGGAAGACGTGGTACATATACACAATGGAATATTACTCAGCAATCAAAAAAGATAAACTCGCGCCATTTGCAGCAACATGGATGGAGCTGGAAGGGATCATGCTCAGCGAAACAAGCCAGAAAGAAAAAGAAAAAATACCAGATGGTCTCACTCATAGCAGGAATTTAAAAAACCCAAATAAGGGACCAGGAGAAAGACCAATTATAACAAAGTAAAAATCAAAATCAATGAGCAACTATAAGCCAGAGACACACGGCAGGGGCGGGGGGGGGTGGGCGGGGTAGGAGGGATTACGGTCAAAATAAGGGGGGGTGGGAATTGTATGGGGACTATAACCAAGGTGAAAAAGCATACATTGTGCAAAAATGAAAAATGATGTAAAAAATATAGAAAACAAAATATAGGAACAAAGTTTAGCTATAAAGGTTAGCTTGTGCTTTAACAAAGCATTTACAGCTTCATTGCCTCTTTAGAAGTTTGAAAAGAAAAGAAGGAAAGGAGATAGACACTGCATTTGGTTGGTTTGAGGCACTGTAGTTGGTTTGTAATGCATGTGTGGAGCAGCACAGTGTCAGGCCTGGGTGTGCAGCCCAGCCCATGCCAGCCTGGCCCGCCCAGCCCTACACCTGACCAAGTGCAGGGGTCTCGCCACCATCCCAGTGCATGGTGAGGGTAATGAGAATTTTATTTCTATGAGTAGCTGTAGAAGGATTTGTAGTTGAGAAAGAAGTGTTTACTTTTCTAAGTCATTCACTTGAAGAACAAAGAAAGAATAACACTTATCTACTGAAAGCCCATCAGGGATTTTTTTTAAATGTACAGATGAAGCTACTTCTGATGACCTCGAGGAGCATCATTTTAGAGTAAATTTTCCCCCATGATGCAGTTTGCTCTTTGAGAAAAAGCATGACTCATAGAAGAAAGAAGCAAAAAGCTTTTGAAGCTCCTAAGAAACCACAGGTATTTTCAAAATAAGATTTGAACAGAAATAAAAGTAGCAAGCTAGAAGCTGCCTGAATCAGATGACTAAGAACAGACATTAAAAAATACTTGTTTTCTAGCCTCAGAAATAGTCCAGAAGTAAATTTTTAATTTGTTTGTAGATTTAGCAAAATTTCAGCATTTAAAGAAGAGTAGGAAGCTTTGGTTGCCCTGAGGAGTGGACTCGTGTAGCCGGAGACGCTAGGTACGCAGCTCACCCATGCAGGTGCTGACCAGATAGACCGGTGGGCACAGTTATATTTGACAGGGAAAAGATAGTGATGCAAATTCATACCTGAATTAGATTTAGGTAAAGCAGATGAATTCTAGAAGAATCAAGAAAAAGAAGGAAAGGTAGAACTTGCCACTTTTCAGAATAGCCACGACATCTGTTGCTGTGATTACTTTTGAAATACTTGACGAAAAAGTACCTGCTCCCAACAGGGAACACCTTGTGGGTGTTTGGCCGTCTAAACTGAGGAGACAGCTCACATGGGGGAGTCTGAGCATATTCCCACCACTGGAAGGAAAAGCTGCAAACAGCCAGCCTGCCATGAGAGCAGGATGCTCGGATCTCACTTCTTACGGGAAGGGGCATGAGGGCAGTTGAACACTAGGGGCAGGAGGCTCCTGGGCTCTTCAAATCCAGTCCAAGGATGCTGAGTCCGAGTCTCCATCAGCAGCATCTTCCATGGGAAGGACCCAATGGCCGATGTTTCCGCCTTTGTGAGCTGCTCTGTGACAGCTTTCAAGAGCAAGCAGCAGGCTGCACAGCCCCTGGTCTTCACTCTCGCTTCCTTCTGGGTATCGCCTGGCTAGCTCCTCCTCTTGGCAAAGGTGTAAGGACAAGAAGGAGCGAGGCGCCCCGCGGGGCCCTTCCCTCCCCACTGCCCTCTCCCATGTCCAGAGCACCGCACGCTGACGCTGGGCAGATCCGTGGAAGGGGCCGCACTCACCTCACGCTTCCTGTCGGTCCAGCCCAGTTCCCAACTTCCTGTAACCGTTTTCCCTCTTGAAAGTCCCAGACTGTCAAGTAAGACAAACCCAAAAGTCCTACCTTCATTTCCTAAGTTTGCGAGCAGGCACGGCCTGTGCAGTTCATTGTTGCTGCCTCAAATGGGCAAGCAGATCCCTGCGTAGCGGAGTTTCGTTTTGTACCAGAGGAGGAACATGTAGACGGATGCAGTTTGAAACAGCCTCTTCCCACGTGTGTGTCTGTGTCGTGTCCGTCCCTGTGTCTGTGTGTCCGTCTGCGTGTGGGCGGGCGCTGTCGCTGTCCGCGGGGAGGGTCTGTGAGTCAGTCCTCCTCTCTCCCGCAGGGTGGATACGCCGCCTACAGATACGCGCAGCCTGCCACTGCAACCGCAGCCACCGCCGCTGCCGCCGCCGCCGCCGCCTACAGCGACGGGTACGTACCTCGGGCGGGAGGCAGCTGCGTGCCCCGGGCACGGCGTCCCCACGCCGTGGCCGCCCCCGGCTGCTCTCTGGCTCCGGCCTCTGTGGTTTCCACACCAGCCTCCCTCCGCCTCAGCTCCGGCTCCATTCTTTCCCCATTTTCTCGGGGTACTTGCAGAATTTTTCAGAATTACTGCATGTAGGAGCAGACATGGAAAGTTGTTTTCCATTCTGCCAGTCTCCCAGTGCCATTCCAAGGCCCAGCTTCTCCCAGGTCCTTTGGTGTCGTCCTCGCGTGGTTTGGGGAGCACGGTCTTTCTTTGTCTCCCTGATTGTCTCTCTTCTTTCCAGCTATGGCAGGGTGTACACAGCCGACCCCTACCATGCCCTCGCCCCTGCCGCTAGCTATGGAGTTGGCGCTGTGGTAAGTATGTATTCCCCTTTTTTAAAAAATAAAAATTTACGCCTCCTAAATTTCACTTACAGACTGAAATAGATGTAGGGAGGTAAGAAACTCAGCCCTTCTCCCATTGCTGGAGTGTGAAAGCCACAAGAGGGCTATCTGTGTCGCCCTCTTTATCCGTATGCTACAGAGTGAGCCGCATGGCCTGGTGTGAGCAGTGAGAGTCACCCTGGGTGACGCCGTCAGCTGGAGAGAAAGCTTGATGCTGGGTGTTGGCTCAGACATTAGACGCACATCCGTGGACTTTTATTGACTGGTACTTTTGTAAGAGTTGGGGCATGACTTTCGCGTTTTCACAGTAAACCTTTCAAAATACTTCATGTGTGCGGGACTCAAATGCAGGTGCAAAGGAGGTCCCTGCTATTCCTGAGCCTTCTGGCCAGTAGTGCTAGAGTCACCGAGTGCTTTAGGAAGCTATTTTATCAGTAATGTTTATGGTATTTTCAGAGACGGTATCGAAAAAGTCTATAGAATTTGTCTAGAATAAACTCCCCCATCCCAACTCATACCTTCACTGAGTTCTTTTAAGTTGGTCTCAGGCCCTCAGGTCCAGTGTTAGGGACTCGGTGGTAGCCGGAAGGCCGTCCCGGCCTGCAGCTCCTGCTGCCAATGCCCCCTGCAGCCCAGTCCAGGCAGCCGCACCCTGGACGGATGCCTGAGAGGGAGGCTGAATGACACATAAGACCCAGAGCAATACGAGGGAGCCCAGCACGTCTTACACTGAGTTTCTTCTGATGAAGGCTTGTGGGAGGAAGTAACAGGATCCTGAGGGAACATGTATTTTAGAATAGAGGTAGAAACATATGATGTAAAGGCAGTGGTACAAGTGCCTGAGGTTTTACTGGTGCCAGGACAATCCATCCTGTACTTAAAGAATGACCTGAGGGGAGAGATGTTCCTGGGGAACTTAGTGAAAGAAGCAGTAGTCGGTGGGTCAAGGAAAGACTCAGGCACGAAGCCCATGACGACCCAGTTCACAGACCCGCACACAGATAAGATGGGGCATGTCAGAATCCACTAGCTGGTGCATTGGATAAAGAGGGTTGGACTTTGCCAGTTGAGAGATGGATGCAGATTTAAGTTCCACCCAAAAGATGAGAAACGAGAGCAGCAGTGGTCAGCAGGGCCAGCTTCCCGTGCACAGGTGGTGTCTGGGAAGGTCGAGTCTCCGTCTGCTTCAGGTCGCGACTGTCACGATGTGGTGGAGACAGATGGTGACTCAGGCCGTGGGAGACCCTTGCGCTGCTGGTGGCACAGCTGAAACGAGCGTCTCCTCGAGAGCCATCACGCGCTCTCCTGAGCGGCCGTCGGCAGCGGGCGCGTTGGCGCTGCTGGGCCCCTGAGACTCGGGCTTCAAAGCTTCAAAGGAAGCTGTTTTTCCAGATCCCTTCCCAGGACATTTTCTTCATTTTTAATGCTTCTCTCATAATCGTTTCATTATTTTTGTGTCTTTAATTACTGCAGGCAAGTTTATACCGAGGTGGCTACAGCCGATTTGCCCCCTACTGAAGTGACGTGAGACCCTGCAAATGGGACAGCCCCCCAGTTCATGAGGCCTGGCTATTGCAATATTTACTAGTAGAAGAACTCCATAGCAAGGAGGAAAAACAGACAAACAAAAAACACAAAAAAAAGAAAGAATACTTTTTTATACCTCACTATGTTCTTTGAATATGTATTTTTCCTTTAAATTTCTGCCTTTAATTCTTTTGTTCCAAAGATTGTGCATTTTTTTCTTTTTTTTTCTTTTTCTTTTTTTAACTGTGGTAAAAAAAAAAAAAATAATGCATTTCCATGTCTGTATGTCCGTGCTTAGCTTATTCTATCAATCACGGAAGAGGCAGTTACTGAGGAAGGAGAGACATTTAGGAGCCAGTAAATGATCAGAAATCAGCAGACAGAATTACCAAAGTGTGTCTGGTGCTGAGTGTTCAAGCAGGAGTGGAAGACATCTTTGTGCAACAGGATATCCTTCTAGTCTTCTGAGTCTCTGCTCTTTGGCAGGCAGGTCTGAGATTGGCTGTGGCTGGTATCCACATGCTGATAGGTGATAGGAATTTGTGCTTGCAATGCAGGAGAATTAAAAAGACACGTTCCTCTCCTCTTCCCTCCTGTCTTCTCCATTCTTTTCACAATCATCTTACACACACAGTCTGAGACAGTTGGCGTGGTTTTGGGAATTGCAGTATTAATGTTTCCAAACGTGCTCTCAGACTGTGGGTAATAAACACCTCATTAGGAACCCGATCTCAGAATGAACTCTGGAGTATGAAAAAGATCATTCTTTTCTTTCTTGTAATCCCAGCATTCCTGCTGGGCATCTTCCCCTTTAATTGAACCACACCTTAGCTCATCTGTCCTTTCATTAACGTCCTGCTCCCATGTCCTCAGGATTCAGGAATTTAGGGCCCAGGGACAGAAGAATAAATAGCCAGTGTCCAGATTTCTCCAAGGTGTTTGGGCCCAGCTTAAGGGTTAGAAGTACAAATAAATTGTTGAGAGCTATTGAAGAGGTTGAGGAAGTGAAGAGGAATATTAGACATTATCTGGCAAGTCACTCCAATATTCCTGACCTTCCTCTTGCATCAGAAAACCAATACAAAGTATAAAACATATAAGAAGACACTGCTAAAAGCTAAAAACAGTCAGTCTGAGGTCAACTGTCCCTGGAAGTTTTGGTAGGTGGGGCAGGTAAGGGCAGGCGAAGGCTCTGCGTACTAGCTCCAAAGCCATAGGAACTTCCTCCTTCCAGAGCCTTCGTGAGTCGCTTCTCTGCCCACAAGCCACTGCCTGCGTGGCCATTCTACTCAGCTCATCATTGCCCTCTGAAGACACCCAGCTGAGCACCCTGACCACTCGGCACGTGAAACACTATGGCACCCGAGATCTGAGCAGGGTTCCTGGGGAGGTCCCCGCCCGTATTGGAAGGGAGGTCTGAAATGGCAAGGGGCTAGCGTGTCACCAGGAAGAGGCATGCGGTGGCCACAGCGGTGGGTCCTGCTGTTGCTACCTGGCTTCCATTTCATACTCGTTATCAAGGTTGGGAGAAAGTGTTTCTCTTCTCGCTGTTCAGCTCTTACTGATAAAAACAAGGGTCCTGCAGCATTTCCAAAGCGAAGGTGTTAGAAACAGGGAAGCATGGTCTGGTTGGCTCCCTGGTCTAGACACATCGGTACTAGGGTGACCTTTCACCCCAGGGATAGCTGCTAAAGGGAGTGATTCCGAGACATGGAGCTTCTGGTTTGTTAGGGTTTGTTTTGTTTTAACTCCTGCCTCCACATACGTTCTTGACTGACGACTGATTCGAGTCCTTGGATTAAAATGACTGACATTTGACAGCATCAAGCACTCTTTGTAGCCAGCATGATGTGCCTGGGAGGGACTGGCCCATCACCAGTAATACAGATCTTCCCTGCCTTCGGAATCCTCTCTCCTGAGAGCTAGGAGAGAGGCTGACCCTGAAATCGGGGAGCCATCCCGGAAGCTAGAGGCCTCGATGCAATTCTTACTGACTCTGGGGAGGAAGGCATAGAGCAGGGGACTCCAGACTGCCTCTCCATGGCCATTTTTAAGGGTTCCCCTCCCCAAGCCAAAGTTTGGTTTGTTGCTGTTGAGACAATTTTTGTTGTATGTAGAGAAATCCTTTAGTTAGAGGAGTGGAGCATGGGGCGTGGGACTTTCACAGTTCTAGGGAATGGGGGCAGGGAGGATTTTTTTTTTTTTTTTCCATTCTTTTGCTTGTGTTCTGAAGGAGAGCTTTTACCGGCTAAAGAAAAGGAAAGAAATTTCATGTCATGTCAAGCAGGGGCCAGCCGTACAACACGGCAAGCCTCTGTTCAGCCGAGACAAGGCTAAATTCTAAATGTTCGTATTGGTAGCGGGAGAGAACTGAGGGATGAGTTTAAGCATTTTCTTTCCTCCGAGAGAGCGGAGGACGATGGGAAGGGGAGAGAAAGCAGCCCCTCCAGCCCTTCGAAGAGGCAGAAGCTTGAGCTCGAGGTGCCCTGTGTGCACCTCAGTTCAGCTGGTCTGGCTGAGGACCCCTAGGCAAGCTCTGCTTCCCCGCTGGCTCCGCTGCATTTCCAGGGGTGCTTTTAACTCCGCCGCCTCCAGCTCCCTGTTGTCAGAAGGCCCCGTGGAGCTCTTTTAACTCAGGGCCTCCGCTTTTCACAGTCAGCCCTGAGGATGGGGCTCTCAGCAGCACCCAGGTCGGAGGCTTCCGACCTCCCCCATCAGCTTTTGAACTTTGAGACTCTGTGCAGCCCACGTGCCCCCAGGCAGGCGCCTGGCTTGCTGCTGCCAGTATCCCTGACTCTCCCTGGGCCTGCTGTGAGCCAGAGAGGGTGCTGGTGGAGGGTTCTAGGGCGCTGGGGCTGGGCGACAGCACGGGGGTGACTTCAACAGCTTTACATAGTTCGTGGCGTGGACTTTCTGTCCTAAGCATCTTCCTCGTAGAAGCCCATGCCTTTCGGGACACCCCTACTGAAAACCTTTAACATCCCTCTTTCTGCCCAGAGAGCTGCCCGTAGGTCTTTTTTCCAGAACTCCTGGTGTTACAGAATTCAACTCCCATCAGCCCAGCTCCGCTATTCATCCCCGTCGGGGCTCTGAGATTTTACTAGGCCTCCTGTCCTGCCATCTGGCCGCAGCCACCGCTGAAATTGAGCTAGTTTTACTTTTCCTTGAAGGGGACTGGGGCTCAGCTGTTAGTTTAAGGGGAGCTAGTGGAGATATTTCCAATAGAAATCAGTGATTGCAGCTTTTCCTCAAAAGTGTGACTCCTCAGGAGCTGAACCGCTCGTGTGTAGTTTCGGCCACGCTTTCCTGGCAGCACAGCAGATGAGCCGGTGAATCGCCGCCACCGTAACGAGGCGCGTAGCTTCCGAGATGCAGGAGGTGCAGGGGCGGGATGGATGCCACCCCAAGGATCTGCAAGAAGGGCTTGACAGCCCCCTCCCCCCTAGCAGGGCGAGGCCAAGCGGGGGACTGTCCGCTGGGCGCTGAGCCCTCGCCAGGAGGGAACCCTCTCCTCTCGCCAAGTCTGGCCGCTTCTCTGCTGCTTGCAACCCTCTAGCACAGTAACATTTGCAGGATTGCAAATTTTTCCCCCAGATAATAGGAGGAAAGGGACTTTGGGGGGTGGGGAGGGGGTAGTGGTGTTTTAAAAGCATAAGTTACCTGTTTGCACTGTTTTTAAGATAGGTTAAAAAAAAATAGTGGGCAAGGTGATCATCAGACGTAAATTGTGTGTTTTTCTTTTGTCATGCTCTTGAAGATGTTTGACCATTTGTAGTATACACCAGTGAAACTTGATTCTCTGTTGCATAAAACACTTTTTCTTTTTTGGAAATGTTACTGTCCGAAAGCTTCTTCCCTGCCTTTTCCTTTTCCTGTGTTCTTCCCTCATCCTTGCTGTGCCCATCAGCCAGGCCGCGGCCCTCCGGGAGCTGGGGCGCGGGGTAGGCCTTTTCCCAGCGGGGCCGGGGGCGGAAGCCAGCGCGTGCCGTCCGCTTCAGGGCGTGCAGTGGCCTCTTTGCAAGTAAGACAGACCAGGCTGCAGCAGGTTCTCCAACTCCCGGATCCAGTGCTCTAGGAGCGAGTTGCCGAGGGTGGCGGGACGCCTGGAGCGTTGCAGTTGGCTGTGGTAGCTGAGTTCTTAGCCATGTTACCGGAACTGTAGCCAGTGACAGTTTACTCAGGAAAACGGTAGATCACTTCAGCCATGGTAGTGCTGGTTGGCAGGGATTGGTAACTGAGAGAACCGCTCATCAGCCAAAACTCAAACCTTGCCTTTACGGACACCGCCCGCGGGCCCCGGTCCCTGCGGCCGGCGGCTGCCGCGCGCTGGGCGGGCTCAGCTCATGCTGGCGAGCAGGGGGAGAACGTCGCTTCTCTTCCTCTCCCCACCCTCCGCCCCTGTGGCCAACAGCAGACGCCCAGGGGCCCCACGAGTTTTTGAATTTTTAGAAAATGTCTTTTGGTTTGGTTTTCCCGGGGACTGAGGAGCGCTCGAAGCGCCGTCTCTGCCGCCAGGACTCCCAGCTTAGTCGTTTCCTTGTATTTTTCTGTTCACAGTATTTTCGTGTGTGTGTGCTTGTTTGGCAGCTCGTTTTGGCTGTAATATATATCGAGTGATGAATTGATCCTCTTTTTTCCCTAAGGGATATGAATTGTTTTCTTCTTGTGTTTTAATTCTGCTTGTGAATAGCTGGAGCAAACCCGGGGCTGACACACGTAAGCTAGGGCTGCAGAGCGACGAGAGCCGGGGGTCCTCGTCCCCCACGGGCCGCCCTCCCCGAGTCTCTGAGCTTGCCAGTCCAAATCTTTGCAAGGCTAAAGATGCCACAGAACCTCTCCTCTCCTCCCCACGCCCCTGGCAGGGACGGACCATCCCTGCGTGCGACGTGCAGTTTCTCTGGCCCCTCCCATGGCCGTGACAGAACAGGTACCTTTGGGGCATGGGGGCGTCACATGGGATGCTTGTGTAATTGGCCACCTCGCCTTCTCCCCCCGCCCCCCAGAATCACTTCCTAGGACGCCCGAGCTGCTTGCCCAGGGTCCTGTCACCCTGCGACCTCCAGAGAAGCACCCCAGGGCTTTGTGACAGTCTCTGACCCCCCCCTTCTCCTTAAGAATCATATTGTATAGTAGCTTTCAGACCATACAGTATTCATTGGGTTACTCCTATTATTATCAAGTAGCTGGAATTGTGAAGGTCGGAGTAGTTAGATCTTTAGCTTTTATTCCTTATTTTTTTGTATTACTATCCATGTGTATAAATTATTGATCATGTTGCTGGCTTTTATAAACTCTAAGCGAAGGAGGGGCACTGCCTCTGCCTTTGCAAATGGTAATGAAGCACTGTTTTTAAATAAAAGAGAGAAACACCAGTCTCTGCCTCTGTGTGTTCATCCCCCTCCCGGTGGCCTCCTCCTGAGACTCACAGGATGCAGGTTGAATTTGACCCCTTGGGATGGAAAACAGAAGGAGGGGGCACCAGCTTCCTGGATGCAGCAGCACCCGAGGGCGCGAGCGCATGGGGTGAAGCTGCCACAGGAGCGGCTGCGGGTGCGCGCCCGGCACCGGAGCACAACGTGGAGCACTTTCAGCCTCGCTCTCCATCCTCATCGCTCGCTGGGCTCCCCATGCCGCCCTCACCGCAACCCAGAAACTGCCCGGCGCCCGCTTCACCCTCCTGAAGTGCTGGCCACCTTCCCTCACGCTCCGCCGCCACCCTGCTCCTCTGCTCCACAGTGCCTGGCCTGGCCCGCCTCTAATCTCTGCTGCCCGCCACCCTGCCTCGTTGGCTTCTGCGCGGTAACCCCCAAGCCCCCAAACCTCCAGTCCCCCCTCTCGGCTCCCTTGCTTTGTTTGCTTTCATGATAAACTTCTTCCTTTCCACTGGTCCCTGTGGTTTTTGACACTTGCTTGAATCTTTTAACATATTCTTAAAACAGTTTTGTAAGATCCCAAGCCCTCCCCCTCATGACAAACTTCTGCAGTAAGTTTCTGCCTCAGCCTGTTCCCTGCATGGCCTGTGCCTCTGCGCACACACCCCACCGGTCCCGGCCCCGGCCCCAGCCCCGGTCCTTCCCAGGCCTGGGCCAGGACACCCAGCGGAGTCTCCTGGAGCCGGGCTCGCGCGCCTACGCTCAGCTTTGGTTCTGTTCCCCGCCCACCTCCGGGGCCTGGCACACAGTAGGCGCACAGCAAGAGTCACTGAGCTGCTTCCACCCCACCCTCCTCCACGGTGGGATTCACCGAGTCATCTACACACTATTTCCTCTACCCCAGGGCTGCACCCTGGGCCCCTCAACCCCTGCCCTTCACATGTGCAAACTTCTCACTCCTTGCCCAGGCCGTTTCTGGGGTTGTGTTTGCAGCAAATAATCTTGAACCCTGAGATAATGTCCCCTCCAGACAAGGAGCAGACAGGCCTCTACCTGCCAGAAACAGGGTCCGAGAGCCCAGGGCCCCTCAGCTGTGGCGCAGACCTACAGCGTGCAGGCAGCATCCACCCGGGCCCTGAGCTTCGCCTCAGGACTAGGCAGCAAGGGGCCCACCGGGTGCTCGTGTCGTGCTCAGGAAGTCTCCTGTCACCTGACCGAGTGGCGTGTCGTCTGCAGGAATCTGCCAAACCAGCACGCTAACCTTCTAAGGCGGGAGATAGCAAATCCAGACTGCTAGTGTGTTATTCCTGATTAAAGATGAAAAGCTAAGCGGAATTCAATGCCCTGTCCAAGCCAGGGAAGCAGGAAGTGCCGGAAGCAGGATGCCAACCTGGCGGCCTGGACTTCGGGGCTCTGGTGTTTCCGGTGCTTCTCTTGGAGAAAGTCCCACAGAAGTCTGAGCGCTGGAGCCAGCCCGTCTGGCTGCCCTCTGGGCCCCTCCTCCATCTCCCCCTCAGGTCTTGGGGATCCCCTGCGCGTGGTTTAGGCCTCCTCCAGTCCCCTTCTCCCCACTCTCCAGCACCTCCTCCCACACTGACTTTTCTCTCTAGCAGCCGCTGCACAGTCTACTTAGGGTTCTTGTCCGTCCCCCCCGCCGGGAGAACAGACTCCATGGGAGCAGGGATGTATTTGCTCACTGCTCTTACCCCAGTGCCTGCAGCAGTGCCTTTCCCCGGGCAGGCATTCAGTAAGGGGTGGGGGTGGGGGGGTGGCTGGGGTGGGGGGGGCTGGTTAGGTGGACAGAAGAGGTGGGTGAATGCGCCCTGGCTGGAAACGCACACAGGCCGTGTGCCCAGAGGACGCCGGCAAGGGCACTAGCCGGGAGCGCGCCTGGCAAGCAGCAGGGGAGGCAGCAGCCGCCGCTCCACCCCCGCAGGGCTCTAGCTCCCTGTCCTGGTGCGTCCTGTGCTTTCCCTGTCCTTGGTGATGGCTTGTCTGGGGTCTGTCCTGCCGTCTCCCCAGTCCGCGGCAGGAGGAGCGGCCAGGCCACCCCTCACCATTCACCTCACCCCAGAAGGGCCCGCAGGGACCAGTGACGTGGGCTGGCGGACTCATTCTGTCCAGTTAATATTTGGAAATAAAAAAGCACGGTTGAAATACACAAAAGTCCTAACATCTCAAGAATTTCACATCATTTTTGCCTCACGATTTTACCCAAACAATTCAACACCGAAAATACTCAGTGCCAACGAGGGTGACCCCACAGGCCTGTGGCGGTCAAGTGGACTCGTAAGCGTGTTTGAAATTTTAATGTTACTATTGAGTCACAGAAGTCTCCTGTTGATCATCCATCATCCAACAAGAGGCCTGAAGCTGCCCGGGGTCGCGCCGTTCGTGACACTGTAAACTCAGGAACAAGCCAGGGGTCGCTCTCCAGGCTCCGGTCCAGGCAGAGCCATCGAGTGTCCGCTCAAGCTCTGCCAGGAGCCACTTGTGGCTGGGTTCGTGGTAGATCTCAAATGGGCACAACGCGCCACCCCAAGTTCTACGGCTTTGGCATATTGGTTATTTAGAGCTGTAGGGGGTGATGGGGTGCCTGGGCACCCCCTATCTGTGCAAAGACAGACCCTCCAAAAGGGGGTGACGGGGTACCTGCAGGGAGAGCCCTTCCTGAGCACCCCCTATCTGTGCAAAGACAGACCCTCCAAAAGGAATCGCAGACCCCTTTCCAGGAGCTCCGTCAAGCAGGGACCCTGGACTTCATTCAGGCTCCCAAGAGGGCTCCCACCTCCCCCTTCACTTCCCTGTTAAGATGCTATTGAATCCTGAAGTCAAGGCCTCCTTGGGGAGTAACTCGTTTTTCCCTGGGTGCCCCCAAGTCTACCCGTGGCCTCTGAGCTAATAAACGTTTGTTTTTCTCTTGTTAATCTTTCACGACAGGATCTCAGCTAAGAACTCAGAAGGGTGGAGAGAAAATCGATTTCCCTCCCCCGCACAGACACTCTTGTTTAAAGCCTCTTTCTTAGGTGGCTTCTGTCCTTGTCCCCAAAAAATCTCTTTAAATATATTTTCGATATCGTGTAACACAGTCACCCCAGGACTCCCGCAGCATCACTATCAGTTTTATTCATTTACCACCAGTTATTTTCAAATGCGTATCCCTTCCGTACGGCTTGGAGAGCATACTTCTAATCATTTTATCTTAAAATGTACTATTATAGGGCCCCTCATTCGAGCCAACGAGCAGCCATAGTCTCCCGGCTCGGGCCAGGGCCCCACGGCCTCAAGTTTTCCTTTCACTTTGAAGTAAGATTTGTTACTTCGACATATTTCTTGCTATTTCCTTGGTTAAATTTTGTTTTATGCTTTTATTATGAATGACATCTTTTTAAAAATTTTTTTATTAATTTTTAAATTTTTTTACATCATTGTTCATTTTTAAACAATATTTGCTTCCCCCCCACCCCCTCAGCTCTAGTCCCCATAGAGTTCCTTCCCCGAGGCACCTGTGCACCATCACCTCAGTCCCCGGTGCTCCTCAGTCCCCCTCCCTGTGATTCCTCCCCCTCCTCCTCCCCTGCAGCATGTCTCTGATTTATAATTGTCTGTTTTTGCTTTGTTGTGTTTTGATTTTTTTTTTAAAGATTTATTTTTATTTCTTTATACAAGCACTGGGTACAGTCAGAAGCGCGGGAGGGTGAGAGAATTCACCAGAGCCAGAGTGGGGAGCAGAGCAGGCAGAAGGACCGAAGTACACTGCTGAGGGGAGCAGCGGGCGGCAGGAGAGGTCTGCGCGCCATGTGGGACCCTCCTCCGGTGGCCGGGGAGCAGCTGGGGATCGAACCGGCGCTGCAGAAGCCGCGGGCAGCTTCGCAACCCAGCGCTCAACCGCTGCGCCACCCGGGAGGCCCTGCTTTGTTGTGTTTTGAACTGTTATTATTTTTCACACTGATGATGAATGACATCTTTTAAGGGTAAGTTTTCTAACTTATTTTACTACTCTATAGAAATACTATTCATTTTCAGTGAATAATAAACTGTAAAGTTATTGTTACTTTACTGTTGTAAAGTAATTGTAAATAGTTACTGAATGAATAATTCATGAATACCTAATACCAATTTGCTTTCCCAATTTTTTCAATTCTTGTTTTTCTTATTTTGGTCCCATGCCTTATTAGATTAGTTCAGATTCCTAAATTATTTAACTATAATTCTAGTATTTCATGGTTTCATATTTCTAGTATCACCATGATAAGGCAATATATTTTAATCCTATTCAAAACTATTGGAATGTTTTTATTAGGAACTAAATGCTGAATTTTCACTCTCATGAGGTGATTATAATTTACCTGCCAAGGACCGAGTGAGGAAGCAGGACTAGACCATGGCTGAGTCCAGGCTCTTCTGGGTTCCTGGCTGCACAGATATTGAGCCCCAAACCACAAAATCCAACCAAGTGAGAGCTGCAGGGGCGAGAACAGGATACATCAGGTTGTATCCTGATGTGAACATGTATTCTGATTTGGGGTCCATAAAAGATGGTGCCTGTAGCTGAGAGACCCAGGGTGAGGTGGCTCTATGTGTGCTTGAACAGCATCAGATATAGACTCTCACCTTCACTTAGGAACGGGATCACCCACATTCAAGGCCCCAGCTCACCTTCTAATCGCCAGTCTCCCAACGTGAGTCAAGGCAGTAGACTGTAGACAAAACATTCCATGGAGCATCGCAGAGCAAAGGGCGGGCTCCCTGGTGGATGCTGTTGGTGCTATGGCCATGGTCGGTGCCTCAGAGGCTCCATGGAGCTGCTCTCTCTAGAGGTGACAACAGGCCCCGGGCCAGAGAGAGGCAGCTTCCCCTTGTGAAGAAGAAAGCAGACACAGTCATTCAGAAAATGACTCAACCCGCTGGGCTGAGGTCTAGTGACTCCCCTGGGAATTCAGAAGCCTGTGAAACCCACAGGAGAGGGCGAACTTTTTAAGGGAGAAGATTGCAGAGCATGGAAACCGGGGGAGATGCCCACATTCT